AAAAGGACATATGAATGATACATCCTAGAGCCAGCTTCTTTCTAAAACTATCCAAAGTATATGGCAACACTAGCTTAATAAAATGTAAAGCGTTGGAATTACCACCTAATGTTGCACAGTCAGATAGTTTGCTTTGATACAAAATAAACTCTACGATTACTTTCTCGACGATTATTGTTTGTATGACGTGTATTGTAAACGACACCACTGGGATGTTGCTTACAATTTATTTTTTGTTAACGACACCACTTCTGACTATTGTTGTATAACGTAAAATAAAGAAATTCGTTACGTGTTAACTTTTAAATTATAATGTTGAAATTGGTCGAGTTCACAGGGACTCGTAAAACAACCATTGAATCTATTACAACAAAAACAACAAAATTAATTTATGAAACTTGATCAGAAAATTATACAATAACTATTCCTTTTTTCACCGTATCTTTGTTTCACTTCATCTGCTATGTTTAAAGCTATTTCTGGAAGCTTCTGAAAAAAGCATTTTAAAATGGTTATCTTACGAATGAAAAATAATTGATATCGATAAATGCATAACTTTGTGTTAGAACTTCATCACGGTGATGCCGTAACAAATGGAATTGTCAACGACACCCCAGTGGTGTGGTTCAGTGGTGTAGTTTACAGTACACGGTTTTCTGATCAAATATTAGCAGTCCAGGAGTCTATTAGTTGTGTTGAGATGCTTTGTTCATAATACTCTAATCCTTATCCTATACTTACTTCGGAAATGCCAATGTGATAGAATTTTGCATTGGGTATCGAAAAGGACATCAGACTACCTTTCATTTGAAAAAATTACTATTCCCAGGAAATAAAGAGATATTAATGCGAGCAGAGAGCCGGCTCTCTGCTCGCATTAATATCTCTAAAACAGCTAAAATATAAAAATAATTTTCTACGGCTACTTGTTGTTTTGGTAATCTTATAATACTTTACAGTAGAGTAAAGAATGTTTACTAAACATTCAAATTTACACTACTGTAAAGTATTATAAACAGAATCAATAAATAAGGAACTTAGGTGGATACATTTATAAATAACAATCTGCCTTGAGAATGGCAGTTTAATTTGGTTACATTAATACATGACATCATGAATGAGTTGATTTTAAACATCTCAAATTTATGTAAATTCGTTTTAATTTGGAAATTCGTTCGAATAGCTGGCTTCTCGTTAAGGAAGTATAATTATTTGAAATATAAGTAATATGAATGCATCGGTCACACAAAGCCGTCCACACTCTTCGTAGTTTTTGCACATTTATTTTAGAGAACCATTTATTAGTTTTTCCTTTTCTGAAATCATTGTAACTATGTAAACTATTTCATTACAATTATTAATGATTTATGCTACAGATAATGATAGGAGTGAGGACAACTCTTGCGACCGATGTTACTGAGATACCTTACTAATACATTGTATTCAAAAATTCTAAATGTAACATATTACAAGCATAAACATTACGAGTATAATATAGTACTTAAGACTAAATAGGTCAATTAATTGAAATGGTGATTAAGGTTTTTACCTTTAGGTATAGATGAAAGAAATGTCTGAAGGATAGATAAAAAAATTATGGATTTTAAGACTTAAAGGTAATCGACAAATCCCAGGAAGTATTTGGTAGTCGCCAATGACGTATTCTTCATAGGGATATGGTCCTTTAAGCAAATATATTTAAATTATGTTATACTTGACCGATTTAAGGCAAGTAGAAAACAGCAATAATTTGGCAAGTGACATTGTATTATATACTAGAATAATATATGTAAAAAAAATATCTAGCAACAATAGTTACATAAGCATAAATGAGATTCATAACAGAGCTGTATTCTAAAAAAAAAAATTATATGCGATATTCTGGAATGACTTTAGTTTTTTTAATAAGGAATGTAGCCAATTCGAATTATTTTTTAATTTAGTAGACAGCGTATGTTCCTAAGTTATAAATCTTATTAAACCAATACTCAAATCTTTGGTTTTCTTAACACAAAAATAAAATTACCCTTTGTAATATGGCGGTATATTATTATAATAATATAACATCTATGCCGCATGTAATTTAAATACATTTCGTTCATCGAACTACAGATAAAGTATTTAGATTTTTTCTTTCAATAATTTCAAAAGCTGATAGTAATACACGTTTTAGTTTCTAAAACAGTATAAAAAAACGTTTACATTAAAAGCCCTTATGCCACCATTTAATCTGGTGCTTACTCACTATTCTTGTACATCCACATTATATGAAATTAGATTAAAATATACATCTAGCAGCAAGCAAGCCTAGCATCGCCAAAATGGTCATGCTAATGAAGGAACGGCTTCAAATTCAATGAAAATAACGCGCATACACTATTATAAGTATTCTTACATAATTGTAACATTTATCGAGCTTGGTTTTTTTATATTATATTCTCAATAATGGGAGTAAAATGCTAGACCGAAGAGAACTAGGCTATGCGTAGATCATGAAGGTCGTCAGTATTCCTTTAAGGAAAAATAACGTTTTTATGACAGTTGCAATCAGATCAGCTGTTTTATTTAAACAATATAGTAAATTTTGTACGAGATCGAGATCGCGTTTTGTGAATTTAGGTGCCGGCGCAAGAAAGTATAATCCTTACTTACTTTTGTAATATAAATTTAAAAAAAATACAAAACTCTGTATTGTTATTGTCGAGCATTACATTTAAATATGTTTCAGGAAACAAACTTTTTGTGAAAACGTTAATATAGGTATTTTACGTTTTCTTCTACAGGAGTATTATTTGTCTTCCTTATTTTATTTCGAATAATGCATTGCTGACTTTATACGATCACAAATATTGATTTAATTAAAATATAAGGAACAGAATAAAATAATAAATGACGTAGAATGTGTATTATGCACATCCATCAACCCCATCCAGAGGTCTGACATACGAAGGCAGCATTATGTTTTACAATATTAAGAATATTTTAGAACATTTAAAATTATATATTAACCTTCTTGAATAACAAAAAAGAAATACTTATTATATCTTTGAAACGTTCCTCAGCTATGTACTTCCGTCGTATATTTTTTTTAGCAAAAATAAGTGACTTAAGACATACCTCTTTAAAAATATAATTTAAAAGGAAAAAAGACAAGTACTAAACCCAAATTCTCTTTGCAGCAGCACTAAATTGTAACACACTTGTAAGAGGTTCAAAAATTTTGCTGTTTACCTGAATTTACTTTCAAAAGCATAATATTTTCTGTTCATTTTTTCACTTATGATAACACAATCATTGTTTTTTAAACTTATATACTTCAGCATAAGAATTATACTGACGTGCACTTAAGCACAAATTTTCAAATACAATACAAATAAAACAGTTTTTTAATATTATAGAAATACTAACATGTCATTACTTCGACTCCATAATTTACGCATCGTATAGCAATTTATTCATACATTTCAACAAATAGCTAACTATAATATAATTATGATTACATTTCTCCTACGAAGTAAATTTACAAAATTGATTATGTAATTTTGGCAGCAACTTTATGTGTTTAAAATCGTTTTCTAAAAGCCTCGTATAAAAGTTTAACAGAGATCACATTTCGTCCAGTACATGTCAAAGACTTATTATGATAATATAACAACAATATATATTACTTGTATATTTAGAACCGTTTTAGTAAGCATTCTACTTCGTCTATGATCAGTAGAATAATTCGAAATCAAACTATCGACATTTGGAACAAAATTTATTTGAAAACAGTAACGATATCACTTACGTTTATGATTATTTAATAACAATACAAGAAATAAGTTGTAAAAAAGATTCGAAACCTTCGTGAGACATTGACATGCCCTAACAGCCTTACAGTGTACTTAGCTCAAATAGTTTGGCGTTGTATATTATGATGTTATAACATATTAGTGTAGTTATAGCGACACTGGGGACGAACCTGCGTAGCGAATATACATACATATACTTACTATTTTTATCCCCGAAAGGGTAAACGACCTCTGGTTTAGAAGTTAAGATCGCTGACCGCTAGACGTACAGGCCTGTCGTTTGTATAAATAGTACTCTGTATTGATGTCACATTCTAGCAACACATGAGTATATGAAGAAGACCCACACATATAATAACACCGGGTTTACTGATATTTCTAATTCATTTCATTTTAGTACATTAAGGTATAGATATAAAATATTACAAAACTAAATAAAACAATGAATAACGAATTATATTTATGAAAAAAATATGATTGATTGCCCAATATTTCAGTTAAAATTTAAATTTCGCAGAGGGCTTTTACTACCTATACGATTTTATTATATGATGATATGGATAATAACTTTATTAATATAAATTTTACTTCGTACCTGACATCCATTATTACGTGTTACACTTTTAACTTTTTTCACTCACCGATAAAATTTAAATCGAAATATGCAAAAGTCAAACAAATCCACAAACGGCCCATAATTTAAGTGTTCATGCTAAACTTTTTTTTTTTAATTTGAATACAGGTAATTTTGGATAGTCAATTGGCATTATCAATGTAACCAGTTTACAGATTGAAGCGTTTTAAAAACGTGGTCAAATTATAATTGTCCAAAGTGTATATGAACAAGTGAAACCACTGACATTCGTATGAACGTTCGTTCACTAACGTTCGTTCCACATGATCGTATGCGATGCGGTGAAAGATTTACTCGGTACGTACACACATAATTTTAGATATCGACTGTACAATTTCTTGAAATCTTTTAATCCCATGTCATACGATTTGTTTAAACACCATCTGTGTAATTGAGAGCTGAATCTGGTGACGTATAAAGTTGTACCATTGCAATGTTTTGTGAATACAAATATATGTGATGTGTGAGATGATGAGAGTATGAGAGAGATAAGACTGGAGTATCCGCAGGTCCGTCCGCTAGAGCTCAGAGCGCTACCACAGCCACCGCCGCCGGCCGCTGGCTTTGTTGCGTCATTCACTCTGCTGTTCACCTGTACAATGTTCCACGACATTTATAATAATAGTAGAAATAACTGCACACATCTCACACGGTCATCTGATCTCAAACTAGGCAGAGCCTGTGATATGGTAACCAAAATACTGATAAACATACTTATATATTTCTAAACACATAAATTTCATAAATACATTACATCCAAAAACAGAATAAATGATCGTGTTCATCACATAATGATTTGTCTTGCGTGGGAATTGAATCTACGACCTCAGGCTTAGCAGTCAGAACCACTAACCACTAGGCCAACAGGCCAGGTAACCAGATAGAGATCCATAAAACTACGTATCACGACTATGACTTCAGTCATAAAATAAACTGATTTTCTGCAAGTTACATGGTTCTGTTATGTTAAATGATACACAAGATCGTTTTTCAGACTTATGGCATGCGATCTAAGAGCTTCCGAATGCAACGTTAGAGGTCACTGGTTTGGCTTTCTATCAATGCAAACATTCGTATTCATGCAAATATACAAGATCCAGGGTATACGAAGTTGGGATCTAGACAGCGTTGCACAGTTGTTTGTGTAGTACAGAAAACTGATCAGTTTAGGAACACTTTTAAGACAAGATAGTAGTTTTTTTTTTTTTTTTTTTTTTTTTTTTTTCTCTTTATTAAACATTTATAATACATACTTTTCCATGCTTAAAGTCTGCCAAACTGTAAAAACAGTTTGTCGGCAGTAGTTCTCGTTTACGGATACATAATAATTAATAATATAAATGTAGGTATTTTAATACAAAATTTGTTAACATTTCCAATTATTGTGTCAAGTACTCGTATACTAGTAGACTATGTCTCAAAAGTAATGAAACGGGCAATGCGGGTATTAGCTATTTGTTATGGACATAACGAGAGATAATGTTTGTGAAGTTTATTTTTAAATTGAAATTTTGTCTGTACCTGTTTTACAAAATCTGAAGGCAATTCATTGAGTAGAAACGGTACCATATAGCTTCTTGTTCGTTTACCGAAGTAGTTCGTGATCTTAGGAACGACAAGTTTCCTCTTTTTGGCTAGACGGGTTGGGTACATATGTTCACGTTGTATTTTGTGCTCTTGGTTGTTATACTGTGTAACTAAAATGTTCAACTTGAGTTTAAGGTGGACCGGAAGTAACTTACAAATTTTAAATAGTTTACAGTAATCGTTTTTTACGCCTTGTTTTGTTTTTCTATCAATAAGTAATTTTAGCAACCTTATCTGCAAATTGTATATTCTATTCAAATGTGTATCAAATGTGAGTCCATATGCACCCAAACCGTAGTCGATGCTTGCATCAGCCAAGGCATAATACAACGTATACATTAATTTTCTACTGATAACATATTGTAAGTTTTTTAATTTACCTAAGATGGAACGAAGTTTATTACAGACGTTGGTTACGTGTAGGTCCCATGTCATTGTGTCATCCACCACTAGCCCTAGGTATTTATAGGAGGTGACTCGCTCCAAAGTTAAGCATCGACAATGTAGCATATAGTTATGCATACATTCGTACGTATGACCCTTTACAGTAATTGAAAATTCTTTACATTTATGATAAGGGGAATGTATGATCATGCACTTCGTTTTTTTCATATTTATTATAATGCCATTATCATGGGCCCATTGTACTAAACTATTAAAATCATTTTGCATGGCTTCTTGAATGACATTGATGTTTTCATGGCTATAGACCAAACATGTGTCATCGGCATACATGAATGCCTTGCATTTTTTAAGTACATTAGACATGCTATTGACGTGTATTATGTATCCTAACGGGCCATAAACAGATCCAGTAGGAACACCAAATTTTATCGCACCTTGCACACTTTCTGTACCACTGACACAAACTTTGAGCGATCTGTTTTCGAGGTACTTTCTGAACCACGCGTTCATTGGACCTCTTATGCCACATTCGTACATGGCTTGCAACAAGCCGTCATGATCCAGAGTATCGAATGCTTTTTTGAAATCTATGTATATAACCATAACTATTTTCCTTTCATTTAGACTCCTATTGACTTCATCTGTAAATTTTTCTAAAGCAGTGCTAGTACTTCTATTCAATCTAAAACCGTGTTGAACATCGTTTAATATGTTATTGTTCTCTAAGAAAGTGGTAATCTGTTTAACTATAATTTTTTCGACAATTTTATTAATTGTATTAAGAATTGCAATAGGTCTATAATTACTATAGTCTTGATGAGATCCCGCTTTATATATTGGGCGGACAATCGATTTCTTTAGCTCCTCCGGATACTCTGACTTTTCAACACAACTGTTAATAAAATAAGCTATTACTGGACTAATTTGGTCCTTAATTTGTTTTAAATCTCGCATTCTGATCCCATCTGATCCCGGCGACTTGTTGCAGTCCAATTTTTCTATAACAACTTTCACATCTTTTGGTTGTATTTTTTGAAATCTGAAACTAACATTGGAATCCTCAACATAGCTTTTTCTATCTAAAAATTTTTGTTGACATTTATGTTTTATACTATCTATTTCTGACGTAAAAGTTTCACAAAATTTATTACAAATAGTCTCCAAATTTTCATGTTTTAACATGTGTTTTTCTATTACCCAATCTACCCCTGTTTTAGTCCTTCCAAGCCAATTATTTACATTACTCCAAATTTTTCTCAAGTCTCCCATACATCCAGTAATTGTTTCACATCTGCTTTTATTTTTGGCCATATTTATAAGCTTCTGTGTCTTGTTTCTGAATCTAGTATACTGTAATCGTTTATTATTATTTTTAGGATCGTTTTTCCACTGCTTGAATAACCTATCTTTTTCAACTATGAGAAAGCGTAGCTCATTAGTAACCCACGATTGTGTTTCGCGTTTACAGTAATTTGATTTTTCTTTTTTAGAAGTGTTATAGATATCGCCAAAAATTGCACACATTTTTGTATATAATTCGTTAGGATCCTGTATTTGTAACAACAATGACCAATCGGTACTATTAAGCTTCTCTCTTATTGCCTTATTATCGTATCTAGTTTTACTAACACTCTCAGCATTTATTTGTTTATCTATTGCAACTGATATACCTGTTACGTAATGGTCGGCTATGCGGGTTGCGAGTGTATACGCTTGGACATCGCGCGCCCCGCCACTTGCATTCCGCATGAAGACGTGATCAATGCATGACGCCACTCGCCGCTGCCCGACAACCGCTTCGCGTGTTATATCTTGAATGCCGCATTGAAGTCCTAAGTTTGCTAGTGAATTTAGATATCTGTTTGCTGATAAGGTCAGTTCGTTCTCCAATAAATTAATGTTACAGTCGCCTACCAGTATACAGTCAGTGCTCGTTGGTAACGCTCCAATAATATTTTCTAATTCGTTGGTAAAAGTGCGTTTGTTTGTGTTCGGCGGCCTGTATACTGTCAACAAATAAGTATTGTATGCGTTCTTATTAAGTTGACCACATATCAGTTCAAATGTCGAGGCAGTACGACACTGTATTGGGTTGTATTGTAGATTATTTTTTACATAAACAAGTATTCCGCCTCCTCGTTTTTTTTCTCGGGTTTGTGAGTACATATTATAGCCAGTTATTGTATACAGGGATACTTCATCATGTCTAATATTAACTTCTGTGAGACACAGTACATCTATCGCATTCAAAGCACTTTGTAGCAAGACTGTTAATCGATTAAAGTGCCTTCTAATGGAACATATATTGATGCTGAGAATTTGTAGTTTAGTTTCCGTTGTGTTTATATAATTGTACCATTCCTTAATGTCGGTGAATTTTATGTATTCAATATCAAGCGGTTGAAATTGTTGGATATGGTGACCCGCCATTGAGATATACAGTTAGGTGGTTAGTCCTGTAACATAACACAAACATACTTGTAATTTTAAGTACGCTTATAGTTTTTCTTTGTCTTGTTGTAGATAGGTTTCGACATCACTTTCAAAGCGTATCTGATGTATCTTCTTTTCGTGATCATCTTTTTTAATTAATATTTTGGAATTCTGTATCCATATATATTTATAAGTACTCTTTAATTTAGTCTTTGTGGCCCAAAATAATTGTTTAATTTGGCGTGTGATATGTTCGTTTATAAATATACGTGAAGTGTCACTATTGTTGTATATCATGTTATTGGTAAGTTGAGATTTTCGGCATTTAAGCCATTCTGCCCTCGCAGCTTTCGTACGCAGCGTTACAATCACAGGTCGGACAGCTTTTTTATCCGAACCTACCCTCCACGCATTTTCGATCTCTGATTTATCTAATTTTAAGACTTCGGCGCATTTTTTGACCACTTCTATTATCTTTTCGCCTTCTTGCATTGTTAAATTCATTAGTTCAATATTTTTATCCAATTCCTTTTGTTCCAAGTATCCTAATCTTTCTTCTAGTGCTTTATTGCATTTTTCTAGGTTTATATTTCGTTGTATCAGATCTTTGTATCTATTTTCCATTTTCTTATTAGTTTCTGTAGTTTCTTTTTTAAATATTTCCATTTCATCGTACTGGGATGCAAGGTAAGTTAAGGTCTTCTCAAAATCAGTATGATTTTTTTTCAACTCACCCACTTGTGACTTAATGTCCGACACATCCTTTTGAAGCAATAAAAAGCGTGAATCTTGTTCTTCTTTCATCGATTTAAGAAGAGTATTCATTGCTTTAACTTCTTTTTGAACAGCTTTCATTGTTAGCAGGGCATTGTCAGGGGAGCAACAGGCAGTTTTGTGCCGTCTCGGTTCTTGCGAAATTGATGAATCACTGTCTGATTCATCATTCCGTTTCTTCTTACCCTGTCGTGTTCCAACCCATTTAGTTATGGGTGTTTGCCTTCCTTTGGCATCCGAAGCAGATCTGTCCGAAGAAGGGACTTCTGCCTCTGCAGTTTTAGTAGGAGTCCGAGAAATTTTAGGCATTGACACTTCTGAACTCTCGTAACACACAAAACAGTAATATTTTATTTGATATCGATACCACGCACACTGCACAAGCGACACGTCCGTTCGTTAGCACGAACAACGAGAACTTTTTTTTATAAATAAGACAAGAACGCCATCTGTGCAATATTGACAAAGTAACTATTAAATGAATAAGTATTAGTTAATTCGTACCTTCGTTGTTGTTGAGCTTGGCGCGCACGAGCCGCTCGGGGTGCGAGTGCGCGAGTTGCGTGTAGTCGCGGAACACTTCGTTGTACGTGTCGTCGTTGGAAGACATCTCGCTCTCGCGCATCTCTTCGTTCAGTTTCGTGAGCCGCAACCTAACGGAACATATCTAAATATTTAAATCTACTTTATGTGGAATTCCGAAATAAATTTTAATCGTCATCTGATGCCGTTGTTTTACTGATGTTTTAAGTCTTTTCGATCTAATATTTATTTAATCAATCAAAATTATCATTTACACATACAAAAATAAAACCGTCAAAATAAACTCACAAAGTAACAATATCAGCGTTTGCGTTTGCCACGGCGATGTCGAGCGGCGTTTGGCCGTCCTTATCTACCATGGACTGGTCTGCACGGTACCGCAGTAGCAAACAAACCTGTCGAACAAACATATTTAAATAACACCCCCTAGTGGCACTAACTTGTAAAATTTACAATCTCAACTGATGTAAATAATACGTTTAGATGAGTTGTTTGTTGTTTAATCCGTAAAAAGATGATTTGTTTTCGCTGCATGAGACAATTATTATAAGTACAATAGAATCCTGATTTGATAAATAGCAAATGATTATCAATGAATTCCTCACAGAAGTCGAATTTAACGACCCAATTTCCTAACATTTTGACTTATTTATGAAAAAATGTATGTAGCACACCTAACATTTTCAACAATTTTTCTTTAACTATAAATTGGAGGTATTTTCTTTTCTTCAAGCGCCCGCCGCCCGCACCTCTCTCGGTCCCCGTTCTCGTCCTACCTCCGCGCCCCTCTTAAGCGTTTATCTATAATGGAACATCTATTTGAAAAAAAACAAAGAACATAATGTAAGAAAGAAAGCAATAGGTACTTGTCCAGTGTGTCCAGCTTCCGTCGCCAGATGTAACGGTGTCTTGCCGTCCTCGTCCTGAACGTTAAGTTTACTACCGTTGAGAAGCAGAAACGAGCACGCCATTACGGATCCCTGAAATGGTAGTAACATAATACATTAAGAACAATTTACAACTAAATTATGTAAGGAGCACGAAACTCAATACTGACAGAGGAAATTTAATTATTTCAATAGTACTTTAGCCCTTCTTTGTAGCGTAGCGCACTTTTAATTATTATAATGTAAAGTGTATGAATATTAGTAGTTGTGTAATTTGTGATTGGTATTGGTATTGGTTGTGGGCTTCGATTTCCGCATTTAGACTCAAGAGTGGTCCTTTATGCGTCGAGGACTGGTTAGCTAGGTGAGCCAACCAAGCTCCTTCCAGAAGCGAAGAAGCCTCCTGGGGCGTTCACAGGCTTCTAGGAGCGATTTTGTATCAAGAATGATACTTGCCCGTTGTGTGGCCACTCCCTCGCATTCCAGGAATACGTGGGCGGCCGTTTCTTCTGCTTCCAGAAATCCCCTGCACCGAGGGTTGTCCGTCGCATTGATGATGAATAGGTGTCGGTTCAGGGCTAGGTGTCCTGTTATAGTACCGACAACTATTCGGATTTCCAGTCTGCTAAGACTGATCAATTTGCAGGTGAGTCGTGGTGTGACTTGAGTCAGCACCAGTTTGGACTGTCTGCAGCCGGGTGAGTTTTTCCACCTCCGGTTATGTGCTTCACGAGTCCGTTGCCTGGCCCAGAATCGTATTTGGTTAAACGGTATTAGCAGGAGTATGGTTGGGCTGGGGTTGCCGAGCCCCTCCTTGCCAACTCATCTGCGGCATCGTTCCCGTGTGAGTTACTGTGCCCTTTAATCCATTGGAGGAGTACCATATTTAACGTGGCAAGCTGCTCCAATGCTTGATGGCATTTGAAGACAATACCGGTGGTCATTGTGTTGCCCTCTAGTGCCTTTAGGACGGCCATGCTGTCGGATAGTATTCGGATGTTATAGTCCTTGATATCCCTTGACATGGCCGTTGTGGCGGCGTAAGTTATTGCCACACATTCGCATTGGAATATGAAACCTAACGTGTTGGCCTAACGCTAGTGATATGTTCATATTTAGGTCTTGCGAGAAAACTCCGGCTCCAGTGCCTGACCTGGTTTTCGAACCGTCTGTGTAAATTCGGACTTAGTTAATGCCGGATTGATCTCGGTCATTTTCTTGCATCTGGATGTGGTATCTTTTTGTGAAGATGTGGTATTTTTGGATTCTATCGCATGAGGCTGCTATTAGTGGTTCGTATTCCACCAATTGATCCAATAATTTTGAGTGCGATCCCTCACTTTTATGCCATAGGCCCAGGTGTCTGAGTCTAATGATCGCCATGGCGGCATCCTGCAGTGTGAATAAAGCCAGTGGCAATTTGTTTATGACGGTGCTTAGCTTTGTTCTCTGCCACAAGACAGCAGCGTAAGTGATTATTGGTCTTATCACTGTTCTTTAAAGCCATAGAGAAATCTTGGGTGATACTCCCCAGCTTTTGTCGAGTAGCCGTTTGCATTGACAGAAGATAATGCAGGCTTTGTTCAGTTTTTCATCGAGGTGCTTATTCCACAGGTAAATTGTGATATATATGTATAGACGAGCAGACGGGTCACTTGATGGAATCCACCACCATCGCCGCCCATGAACGCCTACAACTCAGGAGTCACAAACGCGTTGCCGGCCTTTTAGGAAGGAGTACGCTCTTTTCTTGAAGTATAGTTCCGAACACAGATGCTTTGGTTTTATTAGTGAAAATCTGCATTGTAGTCAGATTTTCACTAATAAAAACAAAATTTTGCTGTCAAAATGTGTACGTTAATACGCCTCTACTAGTGTAATGTAGGATACGATACAGGCGCAGCACGGCCACGTCGTGTACAATGTAGGTACGATATAGGTGTGAGTGATACTGACGCTGAGCACGGCGGCGTGCAGCGCGGTGCGGTGCGCGTGGCGCGTGGCGCACACGTCGGCGCCGGCGGCGAGCGCGGCGCGCAGCACGGCCACGTCGTGTACAATGTAGGTACGATATAGGTGTGAGTGATACTGACGCTGAGCACGGCGGCGTGCAGCGCGGTGCGGTGCGCGTGGCGCGTGGCGCACACGTCGGCGCCGGCGGCGAGCGCGGCGCGCAGCACGGCCACGTTGTGCGCGCGCGCCGCCAGATGCAGCACCGCGTCCGGCGACAGCCGCGACATGTCCTCGGCCACTGCAGACAACACACACACAAATTCGATCATTCTGACTAATATTATAAGATCTGATGTCTTAGGCGCGGGGTGCTCTGACTGTCAGTCGCGTGCCACTGACGACCGACGCGTGTCCGCCGCCGGTGTCGTACGAATGCTATGTACGGAAATGCTCAGTGCTGAATTCATAGAAACGTCGACAGTGCGAGCGGACGAAGTCGCACGCCTCACGGGTCTGTCGGACAGTGTATCATGAGAGCGAAGTTGCGGTCACGTCTGGATTATGCGTCTATTGAAGGGGCCTAGTCATTATAAAGAATTGTCAAAAATACCGACGGCATACTTTCCTTTAGATTCGGTGATATTAACTATTCGGTGAGAGTTCACTGACCTTTATAAAATCTTCACATCACACATCTTACTAACATAATTCTCTCCTTAGAAAGGAGGTTATAAAATCTTAATTTCAACATACTTCTTCTAGAATTATTATTAAATACTTCTTGGCTTAATTGGAATAAGTAGAGACCTTTAAGTTTAATATTTGAACAAATATAATTGATTTTCAGATTTTTTATTATTTTTAATACTGAAACGCTGAAGCATTTTATTTTTGCTAATAAAAAAAACCCGCTTTGCCCATAGTGCGGCGGCGAACACACGTCGGTCAGAGTGCCGGGCCTTAAAAATAAGTTTTTTAAGTGAACCTTTAAACAGAAGGAACCAATATTTTCATTTATTTTTAAATACCCAAGCTATATAACGATGTATGTTTTTTTTATTATGACAATAGATTCTGGCATCTCACATCGTTATATCAAAAAATAGAAGAACATTATTTCATAATAAAATAAGTATGTCAGATCTGAAATAAGTAGACTGATTTGTGTCTTTCCTTAGCAAAAAAAGGATTTACAAGGATAATACGCCTCTACTAGTGTAATGAATGAATGAATGAATGATGTAATGAATGTTTCCTTTGTATAGGGATTATCGTGAATGCAGAATAGACATAGAGAAGGTACTTTAAGTTCAGAAAATAAAACATAAATTTCTATATTTACAACATTTACCCACTTTTCAGTCCCACATTGTGTAACCGAGACCTGTCCTAACACTAAAACCCTATCCTAATCGCAAGTGAGAATGAAACCGATTCAATTTTATTTAATAATTATATGAATGGTCTTAAACCAAAATATTTATATACTGGGGTGTTTTAAGGAGAATACTGATCTCCTTCGTCTATCTGCAAGACCAATCCTGGTCAAGAGTACCAGATTGAGATCATACTTGTTGTATAGCTATTAAATAAGAAGGATTAATGATCAATACTCATTGACACATTAAAAAGTAGTAATGAAAGTATTTAAAAATGAGGGTACGCCAGCTTCTAAAAAATATGAGACTAGCAATATCAGGTCTTCAATTATTACCCTGCTATATTCGCTTCTTAAAAAAAAACTCAAATGGGACAGAAAACGTGGACATTAGGAAACTCAATAACAGAGTAATATTTTGGCCATTTCATTTATCTGTTTTTGTAAACATTAGGTGCTCTTAATTTAATCTTAATATTTGTGACCGTTAAGATTTAATAAGATAATATTAAGATATAATATGTTTACTAACCTAATTCATCGCTATCCTCGCCTTCTGTAGAATCATGATCTGACGGCAGACTGAGATCAATACCGCGTTCGCTCGCCAACTCGTTGCCTATCAACAAAACCGGACTACCATCCGACTTACTCGAACTCTCTGAAACTAATGATGAAAATCAGATTAAATTAGTGCAATGGTACTTAAAACAAATGTTAACGATAGCTAAGTGACGTCACCAATTATTACAAGTATCTATAGAACCTATTTTATGGACCACTGTATCGTCGTGACACGTGTTCTCAATTTTAACTTAAACGACTTCAATAATATAATAAATGAGATTTACCACTTGTGTTGCTGTTGGCATCACTCTTTTCATCGGTTATTGTTTCCGGCACGGAGGGCGTGGTGCGGACTCTGTAGAAGCATTTTTTTTAAATTAACGACGGTAAAACGATAAACCAATTTAGAACACTTATAGGATATCACCATTCAGCTTATAAACTTTTAACGAGAAAAGGCGGAAACAGTGGAAAATGGGTGAATAGCTAAGACGTAAACGTGTCAAAACTTACATCGCAATAATAATATTATTAATTATAACCCATTCGTAATCAAAAAAGAAAATAGTGACGCATCGATCTAGTCCCGCCCCCTGACCAATCAGGTTCCAAGAAATTATCGTTACGTATGAAAGCTTGAAACCTGATTGGCAGGAGGCGGGGCTTAATCGTTGCGTTACTATTTGTTTAATGCGAATAGACTATAGGTAGAATTGGGTCTTCAGCAAAATAATTTCTAGTGTGGGTAGATGGATGGGTAGATGTAGCAATATAGTGATGAGCTACGACATGTAATGTGTCAACATGTGAGGTGTAGTAGTACAAGGGGTTACCTGCGCCTGGCGCGGCGCACGGACCAGCGGCGGCCCGCGCGCAGCGGCGAGTCGCCGCACGGCGCGGAGAGGGCGCCGCTGCTGCCCACCAAGTCCTTCACAAATTGCCGGCTCACATATTTGGCACGGATCCACCCCTCGCGGACACAGCTGTATCAAAAGATTATTTAACAATCCTTATTTACTTTTTTATTTCCTTTATGTAAGATGTGGGAAATTCATCTAGAAGATTACAAGCGTTAAAACACTAATATTCTATAACTAATAAGTGTATAAGACATTTTAATGTACAACAATTATAAATAACCATTTTTATTAGCCATATATGTAGAAAATTTAAAATTATTAAGTTGATAAAGTTAAAAAATAATAATTTAAAATATCTAGGTGTGTTATTAACATCCTGTATCGTACTTATTAATATATACTGTACGGTCCGTATAGGCAAGTTGCAAATGAAGACGATCAGATGGCATTTGAAATGTTTATTTTTAAAACTATATCCGATACGGATCCATGCAAATGACCTTCGAACGCCAATTTACATTGTGAATTAGTTACACATATTTCGACCTGTCATTTACATGTTACTCATTAGTTATTTTTATAAGAATCTAGAAAATAACAAGTTGAAGGAGTATTTTGATTGAATTGAAATTAATGACAATGAGACAAACGTATAAGTATCAATCAATCAGGAATACAGAATTGCCTATAATGATGTAAATTAATTTTAATAAACAATACTATAACTTTGGTCAACATAGAAGAATATTAATCTTATGTCCTGTTCATGTAATATATTTACACTAAAATATGAAAACATTTAAAAGAAAATTGAATTTACAAAATAGAGGAAAACCACCATGAAAATGATTAAATGTCGAATTATGGTTCATCTTAAATGTTATAAACAGAGACCTTTCATTTTTGTTTCATATTCCTTTACTTTCTTCAAAGTATTTATATTTGTTATAAGAACTACACCTAGTGGAATATTAAAGGCTGTTGATGTGATGTGAAGTTAATTTAATATCAAGTAATATTAATGATTTACATTCCCAAATCCGTCACATAACTACAGTATATATATGTATATATATACATATATATATATATATATATATATATATATATATTTGGTGTTCTATAACTGATTATTGAATTGCAGTCCATTTACAAGGAACATTATCTTATTAATAGGGATAACATAATAACTTACGTTTCGCAATCCGGTGTTGCTCTTGTGATAGTTGTACCCTCTGTATTAGCTTCGTAGATCAAATTAACAATCTGGTTGCCAAGCTCAGCCATAACCTTAAACGATAATTGGTGAGATAAATATCAGATTTTGTACTAAATTGTTTTCGATGAAAAAAAAAGTAGTATTAAGTAATCAAGCGTTCTGTCCGTGTAGTGACGGATTAAGAATACGGAATGTCACTACCCCAATTCATCCCGTGGGTGTCGTAAGAGCCGACTAAGGGAGCAAAACAACACAGGACACCAGCGCTACAAAAAGAAGGTAAACTTGACACAAACCCTATACCAACCCGTCTGGCCAGCGTGGTATAGTAGGCCAAAACCTCCTTTCTAAGGAGAGGCCTATGTCCAGCAGTGGACTATTAAAGGCTGTTGATGTGATATGATGTGAAGCATTCGTAAATGCCCTCATGGCAAGCCTCCTTTTTAATAGTGCTCCTCCTTTTTATTAATAAATTCGCGGACGAGGAACACGCGCTGTTTGATAAGACTTTTAAAACGGAACTATGGACTTTTCAGAGGCCCAAGTGCAAGTTTATTTCATCTCTACTTGCTCTCGACGGCGAGCGCGTTTAGCGTTGCGATCGGTGGAGATTTCAGTGCGGGCCAACGAACGCGGTCACAGTGACGAGCGAGTTGATGTGAAATAAACTTGCACTTGGCCCTCTGCACGTTTTTTTAAATAAACAATAAATACAGCATTGATCGGCTCCTTCAATTTGTCAAAAACTTCAATAACATTAGGAATGATGACTATCGGTTCTTTTTTCTAGGTAAAAGTAATCTATAAAAAAGGTAGTATCTAAACCTAATTCTACAACATGGAAAGATAGCGAGAGAGCGTACGAAGGGCTGTGTCCGCCTCTACGACCGACAAAAATGACTCAACGTGACCACGACCGTTCTGCCAAGAGCGACTCGACAGAGAAGAAGAAGAATTCCACAACCGCCGACAGTTATAATTGTTTTCTAACAATAACTAACTTAAGTATAAAATTTACCTTAATAATATCAGGTTCCCAGTCGTCTAAAGTAAGAGATCTAACTTTACTGACATGCACGCCTAGAGACCGATGTATACCGGAACATTCTGTAAAACATCAGTTTGGTGTTAAAATTAAAGTCAGGAGAAATTAAACGGTAGTATGGAGGCCATCAGTCAACACAAGATATAAAGTGTACGTACCTATACATAGTGTTATGCCGAGGTTGATGCTCGCCCACCGAGGATTAGGGCTACCGCAATCGCAACAGTAATTGTTGCCAGGAATGCTAAGAAGTTGTTCCCATATCCTATAAAAATAATAACAGTATTTAGACGTAGTAAATACTTTGGTAAAATCTTTATATACTTATTTTTATTATTATTTAAATGTTGATCTTGTTCTTTTGGGCGGGAGTTTGTAAAAATATATTAATTGCCTTTTTAATCACAACACACAATGACTTCATTTGTCTTGAGGTAATCAACATTTTTAATTTTGCATTTTATTTTATTTTTTTCAACCTTTTTCTGTCTCTAAATATTAAACTTTGATTTCCCTCACTTACGAAATTATGACCTTTAGTAATAAGAAAGTAAATAAGAATCCTTACAAGTAAATATACCTATGGCCTGTTTGCAATTTTAGAGCAATGTGTTTAATAGGTTTAACTGATTAGCCTAACTGAAATATTTCATTTAAAAAAAGTAAGGTCATCTTATACAAGGCAATTTATATTATGAAGTCGTCATAATATAAATTCGCTATTATATATTACCCTAAATAATTACGTTGGTTAAGAACAAGATATAATTCACAATATTATATAGTTTTGTTTTGAATCTTTACTATTCCTTGTGCTTTAAAATAAGCGTGTTGCTATAAAGTCGAATTTAGTACAATACTAACCTGATCTTCTTCATACCAGCATTGGCAACGTTGTGTCTATCGGACGGTGGGCGATCATCAGGAACTAATATGAGTTGTGATTCAGGATTCTCTCGACTTTGACCTTGCTGTATGGCAGAACGGATTCCGTTTTGTAACGCTGCTATCCAGCAGTTTAACATTTCCTCAGAGTCTGCTTGAAGCATGTGACTCCTGAGAAAGATTACGAAAAATTGTAAGAAGCTGTTATCTTTTACTAAGATCATACATACACGAGAATCTCAATTCATATTTTGGTTTTTGCAAAGTTTGAAAACTTTGTTTTTACAAAATTTGTAAACGTTAGTATTACATATTAGAAAACTTTGGTTTTACAAAATTTAAAAGTAAGTACCATAAATTCTGGTAATATAAAGTTACGATCCAGTCTATTCTTACGTCTGGAAATTGCCGCAAAATTCGATGTTTCACTATCTTTATGTTATAGTCAAACCGCCGTAAGCTGTGTGCGTTACCCCAGCAAAATAATGTCGAAAATAGTCATTTAAACGTTATAGATATTTAGTTGCTCCCCTTCTGTAATTGTTAGGCACATTTTTAAATTTGTTTCACTTAAACTTTTTTAGTTATTTCAAAAAAACATTTCCTGCTGGGGTAACGTTTGAAACGTTACCGCAGCCAGACATTTTCTTTTTTAATCGTAATATTGAAATAAATTTTAGCTAAATAATTAGTTATCTGGACTAGGTAAATGTTACAACTTATTTGGTATTTGTATTTTCTTCGGCTGCGAAGTTATTCGAGATCCTGCTGGAGTAACGTTTGTGAGTTTTCTAGATCTCTGAAACGGGTAAGCGGATTGTAACCATCTTTTGTACATAACTTCTTAAGGATTAGTTTTAATTTGTTCGACAATAAAATAACAAAAATAATGGACCGTTTAAAAATTATTTAGGTAAGTATGAAAACACTTCAATACGTCCTAACACTTTAAATGAGACCTCTAAAGACTTACTTCAAACGTTATTCTATTGCTTGTAACTACCTTCAAATGTATACGAATTTTCGTAAGAATACTGTAAGTGACTAAAAAGTTATGATGATATATCTCTCCACTGAATATAGCTCTCCACGTTCACGATCACAATGTTTATTAATGTGTGCGGCCTTTTTTGGCCACCGATAAACCTGTGTGTGGATATATAAACTGAATGTTATGCCAATAATTAGTTGTTTAGTTCAGTTGTCTACCTGTAAAATTTCAGCGTAGTACATATAATCATTTACGAGATAATTAAATAAAAGTCATTAGAAGGTGCAAGACCGTGGTAACCCGACCATGTTTAGGTGGTTACAAAAAAGCGATCACCCAGTACATTGTGCTGGCTTTTAAAATATGTAGGATATTATTTGCAAGTTTACTACGGATATGTACATAAGTGTTACAAAAAACTACATGTTTTTTAAATAATTTTTATTTAGGATTGTTTATTGCATAATTAGTAATCAGCCGGGAGATTAGGTATTGTTTTGAATGCTTTTGTTTTCTCGTAATGTTTAGGTGAATTGTTTATAGTTGTTCATAGAATTGGTACCTGCGTAGTATTTGTTAATTGAAGTTTAATTTTAGGTTAGGTTTAGGTTAGGTTAGGGGATTTTTTTAAGTGATGAATTGACTTAAGCTAGCATATCGCGAACAAACTCTGTATTGCATTATTTCTGTAATAATGTTGGAGAAAATAAAATATTTGATCACAAAATTGCGGTGAGTTAAATTATAATAAAATAAATTATTTATGTAAAATTAGTAATAAGTGATATACCTACCTACAAGTTATGATCGTTTTTAATTTTTTCACCCCGAACGAAATTTCAATATTAGCATTAGTAATTAATATCCTAAGACAAGAATTGACAATTACTTAAATTGAATCGAATTAGCATTAATGCCCATTATTAGTAATTAGGTACACACATATTGAAGAACTCTCAAGAATACGATAAATATTTGCAAAAATAGAAAGCGGAAGCGCACACGTACTTCACAACACGTATATTATCTGCCTAAGGGTCAAGTTTAGTGCACTAGATGCAAATTGCAAACAATGAAGTATCCCTTCGCCCCTCCCCTCCCGCGTTCTAGCGAAGGATGTATTATCAGCGATTCTTGATTGACAAATATTATCTGACCAATAATTTTATCTTTAAAAATGTATCACTTTCACTCGATAAATTAAATTACCGTTATTATATCAAAATATCATTCAACAACTGTCTGTTTTTAACAGAAATCAAGAGTCACGGGCTCAACGCTTAATGGTAGGTACATAGGTATAGATAATTCTCGGTTCTCGGTATAGACCACAGAACAATATTACCTACTCTTACGAGGCATACGACTGTTGGGCGATGCAATGTTGATGCATTCTAATTTACAACTGTATTCTTCTACTATTCGGTCTATTTTAACTTATTGTAGATGACTTGTTGCTATAAATATTTTGATGCATTCAAGTCTAAGCTCTATACACCCCAAAATAAAATACAATTACTTTAGTGTTATTTCTTTACAAAAAAAAATCAAAGAAATGAAACGATTTCTTATTGGTTTAAATTTTCAATTTATTGCAGTCAGGTGAATCGTTCATACATGTATCTACATATTTATAATTTTAGCGGACCAGTGCAGATTTTCTGTTGATTGTAGCTCCGGTAGTAAAAAAGACTAAAGAAATTTTAAGTAAAGAAACTAGTGCTTAAGATCAATTAGGGAAAAATAAATAGATAATAGGTAATAATAATGAATAAATATTGAAAGTATTTAACACTGTACGCAACTGTACCGAAATCGTAAGGTGTATTACACTAAACATTTTAAAAGACAGCACAATGTACTGGGTGATCGCTTTTTTGTAACCACCTAAACATGGTCGGATTACCACGGACTTGCACCTTCTAATGACTTTTATTTAATTATCTCGTAAATTATTATATGTACGACGCTGAAATTCTACAGGTAGACAACTGAACTAAACAACTAATTATTGGCATAACATTCAGTTTATATATCCACACACAGGTTTATCGGTGGCCAAAAAAGGCCGCACACATTGTGATCGTGAACGTGGAGAGCTACATTTCATCATAACTTTTTAGTCACTTATAGTATTCTTACGAAAATTCGTATACATTTGAAGGTAGTTACAAGCAATAGAATAACGTTTGAAGTAAGTCTTTAGAGGTCTTATTTAAAGTGTTAGGACGTATTGAAGTGTTTTCATACTAACCTAAATAATTTTTAAACGGTCCATTATTTTTGTTATTTTATTGTCGAACAAATTAAAACTAATCCTTAAGAAGTTATGCACAAAAGATGGTTACAATCCGCTTACCCGTTTCAGAGATCCAGCAAACCCACAAACGTTACTCCAGCAGGATTTCGAATAACTTCGCAGCCGAAGAAAATACAAATACCAAATAAGTTGTAACATTTACCTAGTCCAGATAACTAATTATCTAGCTAAAATTTATTTCAATATTACAATTAAAAAAGAAAATGTCTGGCTGCGGTAACGTTTCAAACGTTACCCCAGCAGGAAATGTTTTTTTGAAATAACTAAAAAAGTTTAAGTGAAACAAATTTAAAAATGTGCCTAACAATTACAGAAGGGGAGCAACTAATTATCTATAAAGTTTAAATGACCATTTTCGACATTATTTTGCTGGGGTAACGCACACCCGTAAGCTTGGCCCTCCCGCTGGATTGCAGCACGCGGGGCGGGGGTACGATCAACTAATCAGATAGTGTGTCGCTGTCAGTCGGCAGTGACTGACGTGAAAGCCGGGCTGTACGCGTTATTTTTTTTAAGACTGCTACACGCGGTATTGTTTTACAACATGGATAATCTGCTGACTTCGCGTCACAAAAAGATTTAAGAAGATTCGGATTAATTTTCATTTTTTTAATAAACATGTATGCATCTATGGGTAGGGGTAGGTATGCATGTATCTATGTATGTATTGCAATCTTCGAACGTGATTTTGACTCACTTCAAAACGTCGAATTAAATTGAAACTTTGCACATTGTCAAGGACCGATGACGGTGCAATAATTTGAATAGTTTGTCCTATTGTCCCGATGTTCTTCAGGTTTAACGGCTTTTTCAATACCTCAAAATACGGTAGTGTCTTTTGCCTCGTAATAAGGCTGTGCTGAAGCATGTGTAATAAACTTACTTGTTACTTTTTTAGTCTTAATAAGATAATAGTCATCATTAATGACTAAAAAATGTAAAATAAATTTAAGTTAAAAAAACTAGAAAAAAAAACGTTTTTATAGATAAACTAAAAAGTAGGAAATAGTTTACTATACGAGTAACTTTAAAAAGAAAAATTATTTTATCGTATTAAAGCGTGGGGTGCTAGATCCACAATCTACGGCCAGTGTGGTGACGGATTAAGAATACGGAGTATCACCACCCCTATTCATTTTGTGGGTATCGTAAGGACGCAGGACAACAGCCCCGCAAAGATAAGGAAACCTTGAAACAAACTCTATACCAACCCATCTGGCTAGCGTGTTTTAGTCAGCCAAAACCTCCTTCTTTCTTATGTTCAGCAGTGAACTAAAGGCTGTTGATGATGACGGCGATGGGAGTTGTCGATTCTACTGCAATACACGTTAATTTTAACAACAGTATACCTACTGATAAAATTGATAAAACTGAAAACTTTGGGACTCGCTGAAAATTTTAACGTGCTTAAAGGTGGAAAAAGTTGTCAAAAGAAAAAAGATGTTGCTGAAAATTTTGGCCGACCAACGAGTACACAGTCAACAATATTAAAAAACAAATCAAACATCATGAACAAAATTGAAATTGGTCAAAAAAAGAATCTAAACCTTTACAAGTCGAATTTTTTCTCACGAAATCCATCTAAGTCGAATACCTCCGTAAGTATAAAACTCTATAACTATAACCCGGCAATCTCGTGCGCGACCGTCCCGCGGGGAGACAGACAGTGGCGAGGGCGAGGTAGCGCGTCATTCTAGCACACGGCTACATACGAAGAGAAGCGTTTCCCTTCCCCGCTACACCACCCGCTACCCGCTAACCTCTATCTTGAGTACCTCGTCCCCGCCACCGTCTGTCACCCCGCAGGACGGTCGCGGACGACGTTGATGGACTATAAATTATTTGATGTCTTCCTAGAAGTTCGGCTTACAGAAGTTCTACTGTTTAAAGTTCTAACAAAGAATATTTATAATTTTACTTCATTATTAAATTGTATCTGAATACAATATACATGATAAGGCTAAGGCGATTCTATTAAAATGATAACACAATGAATCAAAAAAACTTACATATACTGAAATTATAATACATGAAAGTCAATGCTATTTTTATTACATCGTGTGTAGATAAAATCTCAAACAAATAAATCTGTAGATATCGAGTTAGTATATCGTGTCGTGTATAGCAGACCGCATCACCCGCCCTGCGTCCCTCAAACCATCGGGCCAAGCTTACGGCGGTTTACTATAATTTGCTGAATTTTACGTATTGTTTAATTAGTAAGTACCTATAGTAGTAGTAGTGGTGGTAATACCAATAGTAGAAGTATTATAAAATTTTGAATGATATTCTTATTTTTTGGCACTTGTCTATCAAATTGGAGCTTATACAATTCAAAAATTAAAATCAATTCTTCGAACCGATTCATCTGATCATATTTTGACATTTAGAACACAATAAGCATAGGAAGATAAACAAAGAAATATTTTGGCCATAAACTTACTTGAAAAAAAAAACCCTTCCAACCGCTTAAACTTTTTTTGTTTAGATTGAACCTAATTTATTTGTAGTCATCATCATACATCAACAGCCTTTAATAATCCACTGCTGGACATAAGCCTCTCCTTAGAAAGGAGGTTATGACCTACTATACCACGCTGGCCAGACGGGTTGGTATAGGGTTTGTGTCAAGTTTTCCTTCTCTCTGCAGTGCTGTTGTTCTGCGTAGTTTTTTCCCTTAGTCGGCTCTTACGACACCCACGGGATGGATAGGGGTGGTGACACTCTGTATTCTTAATCCGTCACCACACGGACCGTTATTTGTAGTATGAGAACAAATTTATGTGTCCTCATATTTCTCGACAATTTAGTACATTCTTAATTAAAGACTTACTTTGATGGCGACAGTACTTCGAAACAAAAACGTCTTTCTCCATCGTGCACTGGCTTTACAGTACAAAGTCTTAAATCTTCTTCCATTACCGTGACATTCAGCTCACCAGTTCTTTTCCTTCAATAAAAGATAAAAGAAAAGCTAAAATTAGACACTTGAGCAGCACGTTATATACAAATATGTACACGTACTTACACCATAGAGATAATATAGAGGAACCGAACTGTATTTTCTTCTGTAAGTGGTAGCGTACGGCCGGTAGTCAGAGAAAGAAGACTGTTTTAGTTTTTATAGTAAATTAATTAGGCAATCAGTGACAAGAGCAGAGAGAGATGCAAGACCAAAACAATCTCCTTTCTCTTTCTACCAACCGTATGCGATAGCGCCTCGTTCGCTTCCTCTAACATTTATACTTCCTTCCCATCTTTATCCCCTAAGAGGCAAAAGCGTATTAAAAGCCCATATTTTGCAGACTATAATTTCAGTCCTATACTATACGTTAGCAGGACTGGATGGGGGCAAGCCTATTGCCGTCAACCGGACACATTTCTATATTTTTGATTATAATTATAGATAAATTGTTCCATCCAGACACAGAATAAATGATCGTGTTCATCATCATCATCAACAGCCTTTAATAGTCCACTGCTTTTATACCATGCTGGCCAGACGGGTTGGTATAGGGGTTTTGTAAAGTTTTTCATCTCTTTGCTGTGCTGTTCTCCTGCGTAGTTTGTTCCTGTAGTCGGATCTTTTGTAGTCGGATATTTTTCCCTGGTGGGAATCGAACCCACGACCTTTGGCTTATCAGGCAGGACCGCTAACCAGACCAACAGGCCAAGGGCAAAGCAAATAAACACTGCTAAATTTTTTATCACAAAATACATAGAATAACAGAAATCGAATTAGATACATCTGATCTGATCTCTACAGGTAACAGATGGTGGGGTAATTTTGTATTTTGAATGGATTCTAAGCACATTGTGGCAGTAAAATTTTATAGAAACCTTCTTAAAAAGATTAGTAGGACAACGTTAGAGAAACCATGACAAAGATTATATATATATTTTATTTATTTATTCTTTCTAAGTGTAAACATATTAAATGAGATAATTTTAATATACATAGCATTTGCTAAGCTACGAAGGTACTTGGATATGATACTTGGACTTCCTTATTCAATGGAACTAAATCTTAATCTTAATCAATTATCAGAGAACATAACAATAATAAGAAAACAATCTTTCAATACAAAAACTTACCTATATACAAGACGATTATCGTATAAATAGAACCATCTCCTGTTCCAGGTTTTGAATGCGTTGGAAGTCCTTTTAAATAGATACCCTTGCATTCTAGGCAGGTTTTTAAGGCAAGGGGTAGTTAGCAACCCTTCTTTGCTATCTCCTACGGCTGCGTTAGCCTTACAGCTGGGTAGCACAGTATCCTTGCTATTTACTATGGTATGGCGGTTCTCCATCTCCTTGTCGAGTATTTTTGTGTCGTTACGCATTGCTGCTATCTAAAATTATTATAACTAATTGAAAAATAGGTTGTACATTAAAAGATAATGAGCCTCACTCGCTGCGTACTTACTCGTTAATTATAATGTTTCAATTAAAATGTTTAATTAAGTATTATTTTTAAAGACAACTTCCAGACCAGGAATATATCCTTTAGACTTTACAAACATTCATGAAACGGACCTAAAGAACACCCAGACTCACAATAACAATTTGTGGATTACATTGTGCTGTCCCAAGTGGGGATCGAACCCACAACACTCAGGAGGAAACGCCGAGGTGACCACACAAACCATTAAGACATCCTGACAGTTCATCCGTGCAGTGCATAAATAAAACAATACAATATGATAAATCTTGTAGTTGAAAAAATCCTACTTTTAATGATGTACATGTTATAAACAGTATGATGATAGTTATTGTTTGTCTGTTTATTTTAATTTTCATTTTTATTTTAATTTTTTTTATGCCGTTATCTCTTGGTGAGAGGGTCAGGGATACGGAGTCCGAGCGTGTAAAATGTGCCGCATGTCATTGTTGGTTGAAGGTATTGTTCGCCGCAAGTCTAGTGTACAGATTTTCTACTGACTCGGTATAAGGTCGAAAACTTTGTTGAACAAATCAGAATAAGTTATCAGTTAGCTATTTAAGTTTCCACAACTGATACCGAGATACTACTAATAATAGATCTACTGATGCATCAGCGAAAAAGCATCTCACTTGCAAAAGATCTATCCACGGTTCGAAACGAAACCATGTTGAAATGCAGTATTAGTTCTATGGTCTTAGTAGAAGGAAGGGAAACGGAGCTGGTATATAATACCTTATTATTCGCAATAGACCTTATTATTCTAAAGAGTAAAAATATATATCAAGCCTATACCTCTACAGCTGTTGACTTAAGGAATGGCTCTAAGTCTTCCGACAAATCCACACCTTGATGGTAGTAAGTGCAGCACGCTTGCAGGTACGACACGAACTGAAACAAAAATGACATATTGAATACGAGTAATTAAAACTAACACAGATTACAATAATATAAAAACTTAATTCTTATTATATTAGTAACTAGCGATCCGCCCCGGCTTCGCACGGGTGTAATGTAGATACTACTTATACTACACTAATGTGATGTCAGTGTGGAGTACTTAATTATACTATTATTATGATAGAACTATACTACAGGACTTTAAATGCAATATTTATAGGCCCGAACGGCTTGACAGTTGTTGGGCCCCCGCATTTTAAATTTCTAATATCTTCTAAAATATTAATTTAGATGATATGCTGTAAAGAGATTTCAATCTACATTATGTGCACAACGTACTTATCTAAGGTATTTAATTGGATAAAAAATAATAATGTATTGTTTAAAATTGTTCCGTAAATACCTCATAATTTTTTTTGTAATATTTAAAAGATAAAAATGGTTACTGTGGGTTATCCTCAGGAGATAGACATATATAATCGGGGGATTTTTTTAAGATATCCAAATCAAACCAAATCTTTGAAATTGTCGGATTTGCCTAACTATAATATGTATGTACTATACATATAAACCTTCCTCTTGAATCACTCTCTCTCTCTCTATTAGTGAAACCCGAATTAAAATCCCTTGCTTAGTTTAAAAGATCTAGGCTTATAACACAAACTATATTTCATACCATGTAAAGATCTATCAATATAACTACACTGTTTTCTCTTCAATTAATACCTTGTTTTCTCATGTATCTAACATGACAACAGAGGTTACAGTGTTCAATAGTTATGCAATAGAATTTTTACAATTTGAATATTGACTTGTAGTGTGACAGACTTGTGTAGTTATATCCATAGCTATATATTTATATACCTTAGGATACGAAAGCGTTTCATCCGTATCTTACTAGGAGTATAAATATGATGCGAGAACAATATCGATCTCGATTGAAACAAAATCCATTGAAAAATATATATTTTTTTTATTCCATTTAAGTCTTCTATTTTAATTTGTCCTTTTTGTGCTTCTACTGAGATTACCACATATGTTAATAGAGTAGTTCAGCAAATGTCAGATCGAAGGGTGCAATGATTTAGAACTAGAAATGAGAGGGATGTATGTAAGATGTTAAAATAACATATGCAGGATAATCTTATAACTGATAATACTTTCAAAACATATCTGAAGTAAACAGCTTAAGGTCTTGATTGTCTCTCTGATTGTCTGACTGATTCCAGCACATGTAAATTAACAGTAAGGAACACATTTATTTGGCACAGGATGACCATTATGAATACGATTTATGATTACGACATAAAAAAAACTGTCAATATCAGCCACCTGTTAATTAGGTTGAGATATTCTCGTAAATTGCCATTGTATTTTAATGTGTGCAAAATTAAAAATGGTGTACATTATATTACAAAACTTGTGGATAAGGTGTTTGGACTGTGTTATCTAGGTTAACTGGTATGAATAGGTTTTCTACATTTGTGCGTGCTTGGAGGCTTGGAATTTGCGGCTAGTATCAAATCGGACACGTTTAATTGTTTTAAGGAAGTATTTACTTGAAACATAATTATAATAAAAAAATACATTAGTAACGTTTGTCCACGATTGTTGTCCAGTCTAAATATCCATCATATATTTCCTGAAAAAAATACTAACTCAGTGGGTCACATGCCAGTCTGGTCAGATATGTAGTTATACGTATCGAAATACTTATCCACGCACATGCCTCGTCACTTCATTGGATACATATTGTTTAACTGTTTCGAAGACAGACTGACAAACAAAAGTGCAACCCTAACAGAAAGAAAGGCGACTGTGTGCAAACTGGATTACACTTTAATGTGTCGAAGCCAAAGTCACTATTTATTTTTAAAGTTTCATGCAGTGAAACTACTATTATACTAGCACTATAGTGCATTATTTGCCTGAGATCAGGATGACTATTATGGTACAATAGTACATATCTATAACTACGTTTATCATAGGATGTAACATCTGTGTGTCACACTAAACATATACAAATGAAACAACTTACGTACTAATCAAAGTCAGGCTTCCTCAGATATAAGAGCTTGTTGAGCTAAATATGCAAGTCTATATATTTCAACAGCGCCTCAAACTACACCAAATGCGTTTTTTTAAGATGTACCTATACCGTGTCTAATCGATTCAGTGACGAATGTTGGCCGCTTTTTTAACGAGTTTGCAAGGTACCACGACCCAGCTGTTGCATTTACTGACAGATACTTAGAAAAAAATATTGAACTATATTATATGTATAGTAATCTGTACTATATAATATAGTTCGGCTTAAATAACTTTATTGTTTGATAAAAAATGATAATGCACAGTTACCTCGCATGGGTTATAAATCGCTATCAGTTGATGGAATACATTGTTTCTTCAAGTTATGTATTTTTTAGATATAGGATTTTTTCAGGATAGTCTAATTGCGATAATTCTTTTTTTACAAGTTTCTTTTAGTACAAATATAGGAAAAGAATCACCCCTTACTTTTCATCTACTAATAATCACGAGACATTGATAGAAGTCAGTGAGGGAACTCCTCAATAGTTTAGAGCAGTTACCTCTTGTTTGGGCGCATTATTTCTTTTCAAGAGTAATGAAAACTTTAAACTTAGTAAAAAGCTGTTGTTTAAATATCCAAAACAAATGACAACAATTTGTTAAAGTAGGTTCCTAATCATTTTACATATTGAGTTGAACTTACACAACTTACATTAATGTAAATAAATAAATAATTTTGAGTTGCTGCCAGACATAAACACAAACAGAAAAAAAACCGGTCAGGTACGAGTCAAAATCGTGCGCCAAGGGTTCCGTACCTACCCAGATTTAACGTAGATTTTCGAAATTTCAACTTGCTAGGTCTACCCGTTCCTGAGAAAATCGGTGGTGACACACGGACAGACGGACAGACGGACAAGAAACCCTACCCTACCGAGGAACCCTAACAAAATGAAATTCTAAAAACATTTCGGATTCCGCTACCATCAGCTAATGTAAGTCATATTTTTGATTGAATTTATGTTTGGCGCCTACTCATATTTACTATTGACGTAAAAACATAGGTACTTGGGCTAATGAATTTTCAGCTTATTTAAAAAAAAATGTTATTTTTTTATTATTAGTTATTTTTTTTATTATTATGTATGCTATTGATGTTTATACTAGCTTTATTTATTGAAAAGAATTATCTTAATATTCGGTTCTGGTACAGACAGATCCACCAAAGCATTAAATAAAATCATTATTATCAATCCACATTCAATGACAGCGCGTCAAATGAACAGTCACGACCCAGATACAACGAGGGATATTCTTTATAATGAGTTTATGACGCACAACTGGCAGAAACAAAACCTGAAGTTCATAAGAACATTTTTTCAAATTTCAGTAATAAAGTTAGTATAATTGTTTAATCATACATTTCAACTGCCACAACATTAAATTTCATTTTCAATTTTTATGGGTGTGTAAACAATGTGTTATCTAATCGCTATATTATCGATAGTTTACTTTTCAATTCAAACAATGCGCAATGAGTCAGTGGTAGGAAATGCGATTACATTCGCATTTACCCAGTTTCAGAGAACTGTATGATTCAAATTTAACTTAATTATACTTATATTTAAATAGGTAACAGCATTCTTAAATTCCTTTATGTTCTACTAGGCGTTAGTTCTACTTTGACGGCGGCTCCGCCCGCGTTTATGTCGGTTATCGCGGTAAAAACTACCCTATGTTATTCGCTGATAATGTAGCTTTCCATTGGTGAAATAATTTTTAAAATCGGTTTAGTGGTTTTAGCGTGAAAGCGTAACAAACAAACAAACTCACTTTCACATCTATACAAATAAATAAAATTGAATATCTGTGTGTAATGTCAAAGTAATACGTTTTTTTCATGCTTACACGGTTATTTGCACTATACCTATGCCTAAAAACAGTTTAAATATTTTTCGTCTGTCTGTCTGTTTGTTCTGGATAATCTTCAAAATTCTGGGACCGAATTTGACAACATTTAATACCAGGTAGCTGTCTATATAAGGAGTAACCTCTCAGAAAAACCCTACAAACTTTTGCCCGGTCCGGGAATCGAACCTGAGGTCTCATGGACTGCAGCCGCGTACCGTACTACACCAGCGTTTTTCAAATTCCACGCGAACGTAATCGCGGGTACCAGCTAGTTCATAATATAAGTATGGATTTAGGCACATTGATGTAGATAGGATTATTTTTACTTCATATGCACTAATACTGTCTATGATGACTTCGTGACGTCATATATACTTAACTTCTACTTAATTTGATTTCATGGGAAATAATTAAAGGCACTGCGCAGTAGTGCCGTAATCGGATTATGGACTCCAACCTTGCGCTGTGTATTATGTACGCGTTACGTGCGTAGAAAGCGTTTTCATTTTACAACATTTTGTAGGTTGTACTGTACAACCTTCTGCGATTAATTTTCATTATTGATATAAAAGTGAAATACATAAGTTTGAAAGGTCAAATATATGAGTGAAACGGCAAACTGTTACGGCAAAGCGTTACAAGAATCGTGTTCATACCAACTTTTTTTTAAAAAAACTTTAAGCTGTGCTCTTAGTAGTCTAAGAACACAAGTTGGAGGGAAGTTTTTTGAAGACAAACCATGTCATTTAGTTAGAACTGGGCATACGAGTATAGAGAATGTAATCTATATATGAATTATAAAGAAAAATCACATTAGAATAAATATAAACTGAGAAGGTCGAAAGTTAGCTGATTTCAAATGCATGATGACAAATCTATGCAACGTATCATTTTAACATTTTTTAAATACATAATATAGATGTGTGTAATATATAGCACTATGTATTCCATAATGAATTTGGGCCATTCTGTTGCCAGTCAGGTCAAAGTATTTTTTTGTCAGTTCCGTCCTGGTTTTCAATTTACAAACTTAGGCATTGTATTTAATTAAATACAAGGAAAGATTGTACAAACTAATAGCGATTACATGTATTGATTAGATAATAAAACACACTTTTACCTACAATCACAGACGCCTAACACAAATCCACTTTAACAGGAACCGTTCACTGATTCATCACAGAACTATTAGACTATGAACATTATTATTTTAAAATAACAAAAAACACATCGATACGTTTTGCAACGCAATTTATAACTGTCGTCTAAAGACGGTACAGACGGGTTAGTAGGACACTCGACAACTTAAGAAGTGTGATGTCAGTATTTGAAAATCAACTACTTACTAACAGGTGCAAATTAACGAGCACTTCCTGATACTATATCTTTTATCGAAAGTCAGAGTTATAGATAAAACGCTACACTATTTTTTATAATATTTATTTCCTTCAGAATCAAATAATGTGTTGTATCGGTAAGTGTCTTGTTATCACAATAACAAGACACATACCTGCATGTTTATGCAGTAAATTATTTACGTACGAAAGAATGTTGAAAATTATATATTATAAAAAGGTACACGGCACGAGTATTAGGAATAACTTTGTTCTGCCAATGACTGAGTTTCAAAAATATATGTAAGTATGTATACGTTTCTACAACGAAATCTCAAGCCTTATACAAAATTGAAAAATTCAAATCTTTAATCAAACAGAAACTACATCAAGGCATACTAGGTACCTATTACTGTTATAGACTATTATGCACGTTGCAAATGTTTGGAATTAAGTGGCTCTAATTTCTTCCCATACATAAGGTGTATTTTTTTGTTTCTTCGAGTAGGTTTCCTTTGAGAGTCAAATGAACAATTTAAAAAATAATAAATTCAACGTCAAAAAGTTGTATAACAGACATATGTAACCCGATTTTGTGTAGTAATGTCGAGGTATATGATGTAAACAAACCGTACAAGTCATGAGCTCATGACTCATTTTGTTTTTTTTTAAACTTAATATGCAGAGTGAAGAACGAACATGCCAACAGTTTCCCGTTCACACGAACGCTAATCACTTGTTATTATCTCAACGCAACGCAAACACGTTGGAAGAACTTTACCTTGAAATAGTAATTATATTTAGAATATGAATGCACCTAACAAAGATCATAAACGAGAATACAATTTATGATTTATGGTACAACAAGCATGATTCTACTATTCTTAGACTGGAGCGGAGTAGGAAAAAGTGGATCTGATATCCAGTAATATTTTTCATAATTATTACATTTGTTTATATATATTTACATACTTATGTTATTATGTGGCTACGCTATCTGGGTTTTTATTAACTAAATAAAGTTATTATTAAGGGGGTTATACTATAAGTTCTTGTCATTAGGGCCTATGAGATTTACTAAGGGACGTTCAACAGTTACTTAAGTTGTTAAGTAAGTACATAAAGCGTCTCTGTGTCGTTCATTTTAAAGTGTGCATTGCCTTAAATAACGTAGTACAGTAAATGCCTATAAATTATTTTGATCGTGGTCAATGGTATAGTGACACGATATGCTTCCTCAAAAGTAATGTTGGACCCTGAATCTTTTACATATCTCATTGTTAGTCACACATTTGTTTAGACTTACGAAGTATTTTCTTAAACAAATATGTAGATAGCTACTACCGCTAAGTATTGGTCAAATATGGCGATAACGTCCAAGCAGCTAAAATCACTAATCTGACACTAAATAAAATTTGGGACAATTGGTTGTAGCTGATGGGTACTCCTTACAGACTTCAATAAAGGAGACCGTTCTGTTATGCTTAAAAATTATAAAAATCGATAAGATCGGAGCAAGAGGACACACAATGTAATAAATTAATATTATATGGACAAACAGGAAATTTTAGACCTAAAACAGCTTAAAAACGACATTAACAATCTTGTGCTAAGGAAACGTCTGTTTTGCGGGAACTCGATACATATAATCAACGGACACCTCACATTCAAAACAAACTATAGGTGAAGTATAAAATATTTTTTCAAGGTAGGGATCGAACTCAACACTACTTGATCACAGTCTCTATTGGTGAGGTGAAGTGCGGTCAAACTCCCTGAGTCGACTCTTGCGACACCCACGGGATGAACAGTAAGTAGGTATTCTTAATTCACACACACACATTTCTTCAGTTCACACGTAATAAGAAAACGTTAGACAACAAGTACTACATTGAGGGTATTGAAATTGAGAGACAGGGAAGTGTGCGTGACCTTGGAGTTCAACTCGACCAAGCACTAAAGTTCAGCTACCACATTCTAAATGTTGTCTCTAAAGCCTTTCAAGCACTGGGCTTTGTTTTGCGAAACAGTAAAGAATTTAAGAACCCATCTACAAAAATCAGGCCTTTTCAACACATTAGTCCGCCCTATCTTAGAATATAATTCAGTGGTATGGAATCCGCACTACGAGGTATACACCAAACGGATAGAGAGTGTTCAAAAGCGGTTCCTCTATCACCTGTGCTACGGTGATCACTTAGCTAAGCAACTTACGAACTACACTGACAGGTTGAGACACTATAATATGGATACTTTAGCTAGTCGTAGGAAGAAGCTGGACTTAATTATCCTTCACAAGGTACTAAGCGGATCAATAGATTGCAGTGAGCTTTTGAGCTCATTGCCTATTCAAATTCCAACTCGGACCCCCAGGCATAACACTTTTAGCCTATTTTACATTCCTGGTTCTAATACAAACCTGGGTCATTACGCTGCTGTGCCAAGACTTTGTAGGCAATATAACACGTTAGCCAAAACGACTGAATTAGATATATGCCTATGTTTGTCTAAATATAAGAAATGCTTAACAGCTTTAATGTAATGTAAGCCTCAACGTTTTTTTTTTTTATTATTATTATTATTTTTTGTTTTATTTCGTATTTTTTAAATTTTATCAAAACAATTTTTTAATTATATTTTTTTTGTTACTTTTAAGAATTTAAACTTTTAACATCGCTTGTAACTTTGTTCGCTTGGTTGATGGTATTATTTTTTTTTTACTGTGCTTGCTGTGGTCTCCTGTAAGTGAAGGAGTACACCGACTTTAAACCCATTCTGTTAATTACTGTTTTTTTTACTTGTGTATATCTTTCGTAGGAGATCCTAATAAATAAATAAATAAATAAATAAATCACACGGATTGAGAATCCACACACCAATAACTAAATTTCGTTTTGATTTATTTTTAATTGTAGTGTAAATGATTACATAAATGCAAATGTCATGAATACAAGCATCCTGTTTTTACAGTTACGTCAACGACAGCGAAAGCAGTACACCTAAAACGTAGAGTGGAAGTGGACATTCTAAGGACAGCGCATCGATTCGCTCGACTGTGAAGTTGCTAGCCGAAATTGGGCATTGAGGGCAATCGCTATGAATAGATGCGCGCAAAAGTGGCTACTTACGGTTATTAACCTATTGTCCTCTAGCGGAACGCAATTATTGTCTTCCTATTATTGTTTAACGCTGACTACTATTGCAAATAAAATTGATTGTAGAAGTACACATAACGAATACTATATTCGTGGGAGAGCTTTGGATAATTTAAAGTATCTCTTCGCTGTAAAGGTGTGGTAATGGGGCTCTATGATTATTGTTACTGAGTTTCAATGACTTTTTGATCCGTGATGTGTACAGCTGTCCATAAAACTGCTCGACTCGACAGAAATCTCTAACTTTGAACTCTTTTAAAGTCCGAGTCTCGTTTCGACGCATTCTTAAGTTCCCACTTTGGTATTGAAGCCCCCATTACAACGCTGTGTGTAGCCTTGGTAGTACTGTGTATTGTTTTGGTAATATCTTCGTACACAGCTTCGTCAGAGTCGAGATCAGTATCACCGTCACGGAATATCTGTTCATGTTTTTTAGTGTAAGGTATACTACCGCCTCGAAATATTACTGACTACCACAATACTGTTGCTTTAATGAGATGTTACTTCAACCGGACCGTGTTAAAATTGTATGTCGCCAGGTTTAGTCATTGTTTTTAGTATTTTCCCGTAGAACGGAGATTCTTCGCAACCCTTTGCAAGATTTTATTTTGACCTTGCCTTCTCCTGCACTGATATTATCTACCTGCTTTCTTAGTCGCCACTCTTACGACACCCTCAAGAGGAAGGTGGTGGTTTGTATTTACTAAGGCTGATAATGTAATGTTACATAAAATATATAAAAATACACATTATTATAAGAAGCAAGAACGTAACTACAAAGTCAACGTCAAGACAAAATGTCAAGGCTGTTAACCCCTATTGAAGTGATTTGAATACTGTTCATTTTATAATTTGGTAGATTTTGTACATTTACACTGAATTTGTCACACGCCTTGAAGTAAACGAGTCATAAACTACATACTTATATGTAACTACACACTACAAATAACCACATGGTAATCGTCATAAGCCGATGTTATTACTTCATGACGATATTTTAACACTTTCGCATAGAATATGAACGCCAATAGCACCCTCAAACGTTGAATTGTGGAGGTGAGGCATCAAAATTCAAAATCTACCCAAACTGGATATCATTGACAATAAGTTATAAACTTGTTATGTTAGGTATAAAAGGTTACTATTGAGGTATTTTGTATGGCGTGAAGAAAAGTTATTTATTATTCGCATAGTGATCTGTAAATGCCTTTCAGTGTGAGGAGCGTTACACGTTTGACAAAACCATGATGTCAGTGGAGCCATTTTTTTTTTTTTTTTGTTGACGGAGTGGAAAATCCCTTCGGATCTCCGACCCGCAGCATATCAAATACCGCTGGAAATATGTTAACAAAAGTAGTTAAAAAAAAATTTTTTTAAAGTATAGGCTCAATAAGTCAAAAAACTCACCGTAGCGATGATTTCGTGGCGCTTCCTGGCCTGCAGCATCGTGATTTTCTGCACGTGATCGAGAGCAGTGTGACGGAAACATGATCGCGTTGCCAATAAGAGATTCACAACCTCCTCTATCTCAATCAGTTTGTGACGCGATACCTGTATAGGAATAGTATGTAAAAAAGTAAATTTTTCATTCACATAGAACCGCATGTCAATCCTTAGTTCCAACTCTTCCCAAAGACGAATATAATACTTATAATAAACAGATAGACAAATGATTACTTTTTCAACCTATAATATAACAGAATACAATTCTTAGAACAATGACTGCGAAATTAAAATTCCAGCGTTCATTCTTGCATCATAGGGTTCGTACGATGAAGTGCCAACAACTTATCTCAAGAATAAACTTAATACTGTAGGTGAAGAGCACGTTCTTTAGAATATATTATGACTGTAAATGTAGGTTTATAACACACAATTTTTAAGAGTTTTGTGCATGTTATTATCAACACCAGAGTCATCTTGAAGACCATAGTAAAGAATTTTCAGAATTTACGTAAAGATTTTGGGTGCAGTATTTTAGGAGATAAGCGAAAAGGGTCAATTGACATTCATTCCTTAAATAACCTTAAGCTTTTTTTTTAAATTGCCATTTTTATGAAAAATTATTTTATATATAACACGCTTGTACGCTTGTACGCGTGAACGCTTGAAAAACTCAAAAAGTTCTGCATCAATTGAGCTCAAATTTTGACACGATATTCAATTTGCTTCAAAGACAGTTTTTATCCATTTTTCGTGACAGTTTTGTTCCTCATTTCGCATCGGTTCATCCACAGCTAGTATTACAGATGTGTCGGTCGCGACCTACTGGCCTATCATGTTGCTGGACGAGGCGGATAAATTGTTAGAGGGTTCTCTCTGCCCGCAGGTGAGGCGAGGTGGGCCCTGATCTGTCGGACGCCCTATTAGGTTTTCGAGCCGGGGCGTTAGATGATCGACGCTGTTGGTCCTCAGGACCGTGACGGACGAGGCGGTGATACGTGGCGGCGTGCTGTTGGCGGTGTCGTGGGACATCGCCAACGCATTCAATGGTCTGCCATTCAGCTGCATCAGGGCACTCTACTACCATGGGGCGCCAGAGTATCTGAGCAGGCTAGTAGCAGACTATTTAGAGGAGCGTACCGTGATGTACAAGGACCGAAATTGTGTTTTGAATCGTCGGCCCGTGTCGTGCGGTGTTCCACAGAGGTCTGTTCTCGGACCACTCTTGTGGAACATAAGGTACGACTGGGCGGACCGCTGAGTTCCGGACGAGTACCTAGTGGCAGTCGGCCCCCGCCCAAAGAGGTACGCGAGTGGCTTGAGGCTGCTCGCCGAGCTATGATAACTTGTCGTCCCGGCTGGAGACGTGGCTTTGCCGCCCGGTTCGGCGACGACGAGCGCCTCATGCCGCCTTGAGTGTGGCCGACTAGTTTTACCCTACATCTGCTATAGTGCCGCCGCTGGAGGCGACGGCCGCGTCGCCATACGTCGTCTAAACAAGAAATTCACAAGAAGGTGATGCCCACACTTTGCGGATAGGCGCCTGGAGGGTCCCAGATGTCTTAATAACAGCAGTAGTCCCCGGATCCCTCGCATTTTAGGCGCAGAGTGGCAGACCGTGTGGTTTTAGTCGATCCGGTTCCGACACACCACCCCACCGCAAACCCCGGTGGAGTGACGGCCCCAGGGGTTTTCACACATAAAAACGTGTGTACGAAACCATAAAAAAACTGTCCTTAGTTCCGATCTGTATGCTTTTTTTTTACATACAACTCCCGCAATAGGTATACTCGTATATCTTGTGTCGAGGGGGACTTTACAAACATACATGAACAAAGAACACCCAGACTCAGAACGACAATTTGTGGATCACACAAAATATGTATTATTACAAATAAACGCACGTTATTATTAATTAATAAATGGATAAGATAAGATGGATACAAAATGATAATTGGAAATCATTACATAATTAATAGTACAAGAAAATATTGGAATATAACATTCTGTGCTTAGAAGTTTTTTACTGTCATTACTTACCTGTGAATTCCTAATTAATGAAGTGTCCAGCTCATTTGAGATTTTTTCAAAGTGTGTTTTACTTTCTTTGACTCCTTTTATATCTCTGTAACAAAACAAACGCTTTGTAATGAGACAGATAAATATAATCAATAAGTAGGATGTCTGTATCATATAAAACTGACAATAATTGACAAATGCGGGTTGGCCACACGAAGTTATGAGTAAACGCTCATAATTACCGGGCACGCGTGCCCGCATTTTCGTAATCGCGTAAACATATACTAGGCCGCAAAACGTAATGTGTATAAGCTATCCTATAAAAACAATGTATGTAATTATAAATCTCTTTTAGGATGCATTAGTGTAGTGTGTTTGAGAATGCAGTTGATAACACTTCCAACTACTCATTCTCAGTTCCTTGGTCTGTATCACTTGTAATCACTACCTACAGCTCACCACTAAGTTAATTGTTAAAACATGACGAAACTATTATAGGCCATGGTGAGTATAGGCCATTCTTATAAGGTTACTAGCAAGTTGTATTTAGCTAGTAAACAATCGATATTTGAAACTCGCAAGATAGTATGAGCGTCAAAACAATGACCTCCATTTTACAAGCTGTATTAAATAGGTAGTGCCCAAACACTACTTCGTTCGCCATGGCCGGACCTTCTTTTATCTGCCAGACAAACTATCGTGCTACAAGGCGTGAGTTTATAGGCGGGGCTTTTACTTTACTAAAATATTGCGTGGGTCAAACTCCCAGTTATAATATCAACTATACAATCAACGGTGGCAATAAGAAAACATAATACAATCCCTGAAAATACTCGGTGACATCATAAAGACTTGTAGATATACATAGTTGAGATAATTAACTATCCTAGTATACATTTAATGCGACAGCATTATATGTATAATAGGATAGTTAATATCTATAAATAGTTAATAAAAATAAAATAAATAAATAAGCATGTGTCATTGATTTGACCATGGTACTTTTAAGATTTTAATATAGGTAGATACTATATTTAACCTGTACCTTTAGATATTTGTCCTTATGGTTTTAATCCATAGTTAGTACTACTTCAAGTCTCAAATTATATTGGAGCTTGTCGTGAGACTCTGAAAAAATAGTTCTCCTAATCCCTGAGTTAAAAGCTGGGTCTGCCCATGTTCTAAAGGAAATATGCAACTACCGTAAACCGCAGTCTTTAAATTGTCATTTAATATATAACAGGAAACTGAAAATCGCTAACAAAGACTAAAACGAATCAATGAACTTTAAGGTAAATATTATTAATACCAAGGAGATCATTAAAAATAAAACAGTTTGTGTTAGTAAACTTGAACACTGGGAGCATTTTAAACTCAATCACTGCATTTTAAGTAAAAATGGTTTGTTGTGATGATAAGCACGTCAAAATATTACTTATTATAAGAGTTATTTTGGCTCTCCTACCTATTTCATATTACTTGTATTCTCTTATAAAAAAATTGATTACTACTTATGTATGCAGTTTCGTACGCGGATGAACACATGAACATCCGATAAGTAGGCTATGTCATATGTGAATTCAGCACATATACTTTATTTTTGAAAACATGAATTACTAAATTGACACCTAGAATAAATTTTCGTATCTCTTTAACTCTTGTAGTAATATGGCAATGTACTGATGTTTAATAAAACATCTCTTATCAGCTCTTTACTATAAATAATGTTAATACCTAAAGTTTACACTTCAATATTTACTGTTTTAAAACATACCTAAAATTTACAAAAGAGATGTTGACTTTGTGAGCATGGATGGATGGTTGGATGCTTATTACTCATCATACAAAACCAGCTGAATGGGTTTCAATGAAAATTGAAACAGAAAAAGCTAATGACATGGATTAACACACAAGACACTTTTACACTTTTTTGTGGTAAACATACAAATTAAAAACATAAGTATTTAACATCAGTAGTATTAAATTGGTATCAAATTTGAATTTGAGACTCTTTGAGCAAATCTTGACTACATCTCACTCATAAGCTACTTCATCTGTAAAGTACTTCTTTTATATTGTAAAATAAGGTCCGATAAAAAAGATCTAAGTAAGATCTTTTTTATCGGACCTTATTTTATAGGCTAACTGATGACTCACTTTATTGAACATTATTAATTAAAATTTAATAAACAAATTTCATCCATCATCATAATCAACAGCTTGTCTAGTACAAGTCCTAGAAACAGGCCTCTCCTTGGAAAGGAGCTTTTAGCATACTTTACCACCCTGGCCAGACAGGTTGGTACAGGGTTCAAGTTTTCCTTCTCTTTTCAGTGCTGTTGTCCTGTGTAGTTTACTTCCTTAGTCGGCTTTTACGATACCCACGGCATGAATAGGGGTGGTGACACTCTGTATTCTTAACCCATCACCACACAGATAAAAACCAAACAAATTTACTTACACTTTGATAAAAGCAGTGAGATTCTTGAGTACAGTCCTTGAGACTTGGTCCAGCAGAATTGAGTGGAACTTGTTCATCTCTTGTAGACTATGAATCATCCTGTTGAGATTGGCCATCACTGGTGGGTCCTCGGAGAAACATTCAGTTAAGTCCCATAGTGCATTTGTAAAGGTCCTAAAAATATTATTCATAGTGTCAGGATGAAACAATTACATCACATCAAGTGATCAGTGACTCAGTTTTATCTTTGTCTCTCTCTCTCATTATCTTATTCTTTTCAGACAGATAATGTTCAGCAATATTTTTAAAGAGCAATTTATGTCATCTCTAAAATACACAATTGAAAACAGGATTTTGTTTACTTTAATAGTAAAATTAAATAAAAATAAAATTATATACAAAAATAATATTAGATATTATTTTTTTGCTATCCCTACAATAAAAAAGAAATATAAGTGTGATGATAATATACTACTGTATTTCAGTTATAAGATTTATACTTTGAACATATACAAAAAATATATGAATAAACAAACATTATAGTTTATAATGCTGACACAAATGTCTATATTTATTAACTTTTGACACATTTAAAAAAAACTGCCTAATTAATAGCTTACTTTTAAACTGATACAATTAGTAATTAACTTAAACAACTTGTCTATATATTATTATGCATTATGCATTTTGCTCAAATGTACTGATAATATTCATTTGGTAATCAGTGCCTTTGAATTTACAAAACATTAGGACATTCAAAGTTACATAAAACATTTCTATATACTTAATCTAAAGAAAAGAAAAGAAAATCTTGATGAAATAAAAGAAACATAAGTTCATAATGTCAAGTCACTGATGATGCAGTATCAGAAAATGTCTAAAGTACTATCAGTAATATGCTAAAAAAATACCGATATGTTTCCCATATTGAAGTCATTTAAAAAAAATTGAAGATGAAACAATATAAAAAATTAAGTTTATAAAAAACTAAAACAATAAACACTGACCTCCCGACTAAAGCTCACACTCAAAGGATTTTTTTTTACCTATTGAGTTCTAATAATAACATCCTGTATACATCATCAGATCAAATCTAAGAAATCAAATTGCAGGATTGTAATCCAAATGACACATTTTTACTAAGTTTCATTTATAAACAACAAAGAAGTAGGTTTAAATTGACTTATACGATTTGTTTACATAGTTAGCCAGTTACGGAGTTGCAAGTTTAGCTAATAAAAGCGTATTAAAAAAAGGAGGACAATCCTCACCCTCTGTGACTCATGTAAATTTTACCAGACTCTATCATAACAGAGCATGCTTTAAGCACTTTATCAAGTTTCTGTTCTAATGCTTCTATACTAGCTTCTTCAGTTTCCAGCTGCTCCCTACAATAACAAACAGAATGGCTTATACAACAATTAACACAGACAACACGTACAAAATTTCACTTTCTGTTTTACTTTCATTGACTATAATGTTTACAATACCTAAACTTGGGTGAATCCCTAAGGCATTCATCAAAGTCTATACGTGGCTTCATCTTTACTGTTTATTATGTATCACTAGTTGATTTACGAAATATTTTATTTCATTTCCACCTTCGAACACAAAAAATAATAATTACACATACATCTATTGACATGACACTGACAGCACTGACAGTTCCTTTTTTTTTATGAGTATAAGATTTTAGATAGCAGAAAACACGAATACAATCTTCAAAAGTGCGTATTCAATTTATTCGGGATTAAACCATCAATTTTTTTCTTGAAGTCACTTGACTGAGGAATACGATCAAAAATATAGTATGGATTTTGTTACATGGTTTTTAGTGTACTTGCCTCTCATACTAAATGTACCTTAAAATCATATTCGAAGTCAAACTTGATTCGGAGCTTGGCATCACTATTCCAGTGTTGCAAATGTGACAATTTTAAAATTGCATTATTTTTCAAGTAAACATCGGGAGATTTTATGTCAAAATAAAACAACACTATTTTAGGTTAATAATTAAAGTAATTTATTAAAACATTAAAGGTACAGTGATTACTAATTACTCATTTGCCTACCACTTCTTGCTTGCTGTTTTTGAAATCATTTTTTAGTCAATATTAAAATTATAACAAGTTTGGTTATTTTCTTCGAATCATCACCAATAATTGATTCAGTGGAAAGTTTGTTGTTCTATTTGGTTTTCATTAAATTGATTGACGAAAATATTCGTGCCACGTTTGCAGATGAGTGCGGTAAACTCAGAATATTAAAAACAAACGAAAAAAATTGGTTGCCTGTAAAGTCGGTATACGGGCGAAAGTTTTACGTGACAACGACTTTGAGTGGTAAAATAATTTTAATGTGAATATTCATTCGTATAGTAAGAAGAAGGATGAAATAATAGTAACAATTTAAAACATTTATTTATACAAAGAATTATATTTAAAGAATTATATTTAAAGTTTCTGTTATTGACAAATTTATTCTTGACTACAAAATTAACAACAGTTGCTAGGTAACATCATCATATTAAAGATAGACAATTTGTAATTGATGTATATAACCTTCTTAACATTCCGTCTCCTCTTCAAGCAACTGTTGGTTAAGTGGAGGCTCCAGCTAGCTTACATAGTTCTAGAAGCCTAGGCTTAAATAATGGCTTTGTCAAGAAGTCTGCCAATTGATTCTTGGTATCAACCTTCTCCTCAACTTTTATATCCTTTTCTAGGACACACTGCCTTACGAAAAAATGTTTAAGCCTTATATGCTTTGTTCGCTGGTGTGCTTCGTAAGGTGGATCATAAGCTAATCTTATAGCGGATTCATTATCTATAAAGAGTGGTGTAATCTCCTTCTGATCCGTTTAAGCCATATAACTTCTCTGGCGGCCTCACTTGCTGCAATTATTTCAGCTTCTGTAGAAGATATTGCGACAGTAGTCTGACGTTTACTCTGCCATGCTATTGCACCATTGGCGTTGAGGCAAATCATGCCGCTGGTGGAGCGTCCAGTCGTCTCATCACCACCATGATCAGCATCACTGTAGCATCTTAAGCCTCGTTCTACAGTGGAAGATTTGTATGTTATACCATACTCTAGGGTGCCTTTAACATAGCGTAGAATTCGCTTAACTCTCGCTACATCTTCTGATGTTGGATTATCTAGCTTCCGTGACACTATTCCAACTGCAAAAGCAATGTCAGGTCTAGTGCCAACCATCAAATAGGATAATGCTCCAACAACCTGTCGATATGGAAAGTCATGGATATCCGTATTGTCTTTCGAAGCTAGCACGTTATCTTTAACAATTGGGGTTACTGCAGCTTTGCAATTCTGCATGCCAAATCTTTGCAGTAGCTTCTTTGCATAGCTCTTTTGATCAATTTTGATTGACCCATCAACTTTACGTTCTATTTCAATTCCAAGAAAATAGGAACCGCATTTCGTTGTGATTTTGAAGCGTTGACGCATTTCGTCCAAAAACTTTTCAGTTTCTTTTGAACTTGCTGACGCTATCAATCCGTCATCAACATATAAAGCTATTAATAACTTGTTCTTTCCCTCTCTTTTAAACAAGCAGGGGTCACCCTCACTCTGTATGAAGCCAACTTTGAGGATGTGCTCAGTAATAGTAGAGTTCCAGCACCTCGGTGCTTGTTTAAGTCCATAGAGACTTCGTTTAAGTTTGCAAACTTTACCATCATTGTTTGAATATCCTTCTGGAGGCTTCATATAAATATCCTCTTTCAATTTGCCATATAGAAAGGCAGTTGAAACGTCGAACTGACATAGAGAGAGATTTTCTTGAGCAGCTATACTGAGTAATGCTCTTATGGTACTTGTCTTTGCAACAGGACTAAAGGTTTCATAATAATCTAAACCCTTCTTCTGTGAAAAACCTCTTATTACAAGTCTGGCTTTGTATTTATCAATCGATCCGTCAGGATTCGTCTTGATCTTAAAAATCCACTTGCTTGAGATCGCTTTTCTGCCCTTGGGTAAATCTACCATTTCCCATGTTTCATTTTCTTTTAGAGAATTAATTTCATTATCCATTGCCTTTTTCCATTCATCAAAATCTTTAGATGCCATCACTTCTTGAAATGTACTTGGCTCTTTTCGATTTTCATCGCTTATCGAATTGCCATTCATACAAATGTTGCAAATGAAGTCTTTGTATCTAGCCGGTGGCCTGAGATTTGATCGGTCTCGTAGCGTCATCCTGCCTTCAGCCTCGATCTCAGATGCAGATAAAGACGAATCGTCTCTACGGTCTGGCCTCGATTCATTTATATCGTTGACTTGACGATCTGTCTCGATTACATCGCTAACCTCTTCTTCGGGTATAGGCTCGTAAAAGGATTCCTCCGCCTCTAAAAATGTTTCAGCCTCTGGCACGTCATCTTCACTCGCAGTTTCAATCTCTGCACATGATGATTCAGCAGCATGTTCATCTTGCTGAGAAGACGATGCGATACTTTCATCATGACTTGTCAATGTCTGCTGGATGTTGCTCGTGTCGGCCGGCGTGTAACATTCATGCTGACGAGGAATGACGAAGTCAAACAGGGTGTTGGAATTTTTATCAGCAGTTTTGTTCTGATTGGCAACAGGCTCGTCAATCTCTTCAAAGTGACCCAATAAAGGATTCTCATTAAAAGTGACATCTCTGGAACGAATCAGTTTGAAAGAGTTGCTGTCCCAAATACGGTAGCCATTGTCAGAGTCATATCCAATTAATATTCCTTTTTGTGCCTTCTTGTCTAACTTCTTTCGTCTTTGCTTGGGAACATGTGGATAACAAATGGATCCTATTATTCTTAAATGACTCAGTCTGGGTTTCTTCTGGTGCCATAACTCATACGGTGATTTTCCATCCACAGAGGTTGGGCCTGTTCTGTTTAAGATGTACACCGCAGCAGATATCATTTCAGCCCAAAGTGCAGGAGGAATTTTTGCATGTGCGTACATTAGACTCCGCGCCATTTCCACAACGGTCCTGTTGTCTCGCTCTGTTGGATTTTGTTGTGGCGTATAGGGCATTGTCAATCTTTGCACAATACCTTCCTTCTTGAGAGTAGCTTGTACCTTCGCGTTGACAAACTCACCACCGTTGTCGCTAAGAAGTTCTTTTATGACAACTCCTGATGCTTTTACTTCAGTAAGCATAAGTAGCAATTTCGCGTGTACTTCAGCTTTTTCCCTCATAAAATACACAAATCTGTACCTTGTATAATCTTTGAAGAGAACAAAATATCGCAACTTTGTGATAGAATATGGGAAGGGTCCACAAACATCAGCATATACAAGTTCTCCAGGTCTCGTTGCTTTCTCTCGGGTCCCAAACTTAAGTCTATGGGATTTGCCATAGATGCAACCTTCACAGAGTTCCTTGGTTACTGGTACTTTTATATGAAACTCATTTTCAATCACCTTCTTCACATGGCTTTTATTTTGATGTCCAAATCTTTCATGATATAGCTGTAACAAATTTGTGTTTGTGGACACCTGATTGACTCGTACAGTTGGTTCCAGACATCTTATTTTAATTTTAAAGAGTCCTCCAAACTTGCTGCGGGTGCCAATCAGCTTTACCTGTCCATCAATCTTTAGTGTACATTTTAGTGTGGTAGATTCAAAAACACTGTTGTCAGATATGTCGTGGGTTGCAAGTACTGAAAATAAATTCCTGCTAATGCTGGGTACGTACCAGACATTCTTCAGTAGTATCGGTATTGCATTTCCGTTTACATCAGCCTCTGCAAGAATATTTCCGATGCCTAGGGCTTCAATATATTGGCCATTCGCGCCAGTCACTGTATGACGGCTCTTGAAATATTTGAAGGTCTGAAAGAGATCATTTCGATTGGTAACATGATTGGTAGCCCCATTATCAATGAACCAATTCTCTAAATCTTTCCTTTCTCCAAAATCAGCCGAATCTATTGTCATAACAGTCAGGTTCGTGTTTGCGGTCTTGGTTTCCTTGGGCGGCCTTCCATCTTGGATCCACCGCTTACAATTTCTAACTCTATGTCCCTTTTCCTTGCAATAATTGCATTTAGGCTCGTTAAAATTCTTCTTTTTCTTACCCTTATTTGTTTTTGTATACAAAGCTTCTGCACTAGTCTCCTCTGTGACATTTGTGTCTTGACGCAGGACTCTCTCTTGTGCACACAATTGACTTGTCAGATTTTCAACTGATCTTTCCATTTTTGAAATCAACAGCCAACTGGACTTAAAACCAAGATATTCTGGAGGTAATGTATCTAGTATCTTGCATATTAAAAGAATTTCAGGTAATTTTGTTTCACTCTGCAATTCCGTACATAGCTCGCTCCAAATATTCTTTAAAATTGACACATGTGTAATTATGTCATGTTCTGGGTCCTTTTTGTAACTGAAGAATTTCAGGCATAAGTTGTATGTCTTGTCTACACACGTACCTCCATAGGTGCGCTCTAGCTCATCCCACATATCTTTAGCAGAATCAAATCGCAAAAACTTTTGTAAAATATCATCTGACATGTTTGTTGTCAACAGAATTAAAATTGCGCTATTCAAATTTTCAAAACTTTGGAGATCTTTTTCATAACTAGCCTTTGCATCGCCAGTAGCCGAAAGCGCCAAGGATGGTCTTACCTTCTTCCCTTCGAGGATGAACATGCCTCCTGGTATTGCCTTTAGCACGATTAGAATTTTGAATCTCCATGTTTTATAATTATTGGAATCTAGTTTCCCAATTTGAATCTTACTCGCATTTAATGCTTGCTCCATTGTTTACGCTCTGCTACCACTTTAATATAATAAAATAAAATATAATATGGAAAGCAAGTTTCTGTTATTGACAAATTTATTCTTGACTACAAAATTAACAACAGTTGCTAGGTAACATCATCATATTAAAGATAGACAATTTGTAATTGATGTATATAACCTTCTTAACATCATCACCAATAATTGATTCAGTGGAAAGTTTGTTGTTCTATTTGGTTTTCATTAAATTGATTGACGAAAATATTCGTGCCACGTTTGCAGATGAGTGCGGTAAACTCAGAATATTAAAAACAAACGAAAAAAATTGGTTGCCTGTAAAGTCGGTATACGGGCGAAAGTTTTACGTGACAACGACTTTGAGTGGTAAAATAATTTTAATGTGAATATTCATTCGTATAGTAGGAAGAAGGATGAAATAATAGTAACAATTTAAAACATTTATTTATACAAAGAATTATATTTAAAAAAGGGACGCGTGCCTTTCACTTTTTATGTCTGTCTCTCTCGCTCTTAGGCGGGCTAACCATGCCCGAGTGGAAGGGACGCGTGCCTCTCACTCGCTCTCACCCGGCAAACCAATTTATAAGACGTTGTCACGTCAAAAAATATTTTCAAACATTCGTAAACCGTCATTGCATTTCATGCTGCTAATTGATGATTTAAAGTCGAAGTTCTCAAGATTGTATTTTTTTTAGTCTTTTGTCAAAAAACAATCAAATAATTTTCTCCAACTATTACAAACGTGCGAATACAGAACGTGTGTTCTTGCTGATTCATAATGCATTTCTCGATTTAATTTATTAAAAATCTGTAAAACAAAATCTAAAATCTGAAGAAAGAGTAAAATGTAAAAATTCGGTAGACAGGGTAGAGATGGACATTTAAAATATACATCGATGTTTTTTTCGATGTAATGCATCGATCGGTCACATCGATGGTAATACGATGTATTGAGAAATACATCGATGTTTCTTAAACATCGATTATTTTCGCCATGACGTGTTTTAGGTTAGGTTAGGCCTTAATTAAAATATATATATATATATATATATATTAATAAAATCAGGAAATATATTTATTCAAATTCAAAATCACACAACAACACAGCTATGTAAAAACAAAAGTTTACTTAATCTCTTCCCCTTCAGTCGGTTCCTTCGTTCAATTCAGCGAGTATTTATTTAAAGCGAATTCATAATCTAGTATTTTCAAATAATAAAAATCAAGTTTAATTTAATTTTCCCGCGAACAAACGAATAATACGAGTCGAACGACCTACAGCGTTCCAACGGGCGAATTAAAAGAACCCCGTTCAATAAACTATAGCTATTTGGCGGCTATACAACACTATACTCATTCATAATTTGCTTGGTCGATGCATCGAATAAAAAACATCGATATATATTCGATGTTGAAGTATTAACAATACATCGGTTTAATACGATGCATCGTTACTATACATCGAGTGTTTTAAATAAATCGATGTATATCGTCCATCTCTAAGACAGGGTCGCTAAATCGGGATATCGGGAGTGAAAAGTCGGAATCAGTAGATCTCCCGATAAATCGCGAACTTTTGCATCTGCACCATTCCCAAAGCCATTCATTCACTCTCCCTCACCTTTACTTACTTGCTTATTGCTTCACAACAACTTTGACAGCTAATTACTAAACGTTATGCATAAAGTGAAATCAGCGAAATATCATCATCACACTTTTTAGTTACCTAATTTAGAGAATGTTCAATCTTTGTAGGATATGTCTCATAGTTTTATATAAATCTTAACAATAAAAATATAATTTTTTATGTATTGGTTTGCTAAAATTCTTAATATATAAGTTATTGTTAAGCACTAAGATGACTCCTAATAATAGTAAATATATCATTGACGATTACAATGTATTAACTGTACTCTTGTGTGCCCTCACGATACCCTTATCAATGTCTTTATGGATAATCAATATAATTTATTCAAAATTTGTAACAGGACATGAAGGTTTGGATGGTATGTAATGTTTGCCTTGACCGGTTCTGCAAAACTCACTAGCTTTGTGTCAGGTTTTCCTATATGATAATAACAGTATTAAAAATTGAACTGATGTGAAATTTTCAGAACCAGTGGTCATATCACCTACAAGATGGTTGGCTTCATGTTTGATACCATTACTGGTAGCAGTGCATGGTTATAGGAAGAAAAGTGTAGCTCTTAGTGGTGCTGTCCTTGGTTGTTTCGTTGCTTTCATTCTTACACTGAGTAACTATTCCTTTTTGGTTTGTTTGATTACATTCTTTTTGTCATCATCAAAGGCTACAAAAGTAAGAGGCAATTTAAAAAAGAAATTAGAGGTAGATTTCAAAGAAGGTAGGTCAATAGAAGTTGGTTAATTTCTATATTTTTTTGTAAAAGTTTAATTTAAGGAATTGAATTATTTTATTTTAGGTGGTCAGAGAACATGGGTTCAAGTTCTCTGTAATGGAGGTATGGCAACTCAACTTGCATTATTATACTTACTAGATGTTGGTGCATCTGAACGACCTATAGATTTTGTACAAGATTATAGAGCTTCTTGGCTTACTGTTGGAGTCCTTGGTAAGATAACTATATGGTAAGATGCCTATAACATTTGTGACTTTTTTTTTAATTTCAATAACAAAATATTTTTTCATTTTAGCTGTATTTGCATCTTGCAATGGTGATACTTGGGCATCCGAGCTAGGGACAGTCTTTTCATACTCTAAGCCATATTTAGTTACAAATTTTAAAAAAGTACCAAAAGGAACAAATGGAGGCATCAGTATAGAGGGCACAGCGTTTAGTGCACTTGGCGGTTTAGCAGTTGGTTTAGCACAATATTTGACAATATATTACTTTTCGGAAAGTTCTTTATGGTACTATGCTCCTCCTCAATGGCCTATTATTATTTTAGGGGGTTTTAGTGGTTTCCTGGGAAGTCTTATAGATTCTGTACTAGGAGCAACACTTCAATATTCAGGTTAGATTACCTTTCTACCTTTTTTATTTTAAGATTTCAGAGAAATCATATTATATAAAGGAAAATACTAATAGAGAAATATTTGATGTTATTCATAGGTATAGGGTATTTAAAATAAAAAAATATATAATTTTACTAGTTTTGTAATCAATTATCATAAGTTCTATTTTTAAGTGATATCTATGAAAATTAATGTATTTCACTTATGTCAGTGAAATACATGAAATATTAAAAAAAGATTATAATATCATTAGACTCCAACCCATTTATCCACATTTAACTAGTAATATAATAGATTTGGTTACATTTATACTGTAAAGAGATTAATGTAATCTTTTAAATTGCAGGTTTAAATAAAGAAGGTCAAATTGTAACACATTCAAGTCTGGCTGTAAAACATATCAGTGGGAGGAATATTTTAGACAACAATAGTGTGAATCTTATATCAACAGTGATCATGGGCCTCCTGATACCCACATTGTGTAAAAACATATGGCCTTTATTCTGAGTACTCAAAAAATAATTTTTTAAACTAGATTTCATAAAATGTTATAATTAATTTTCTTTACAATTTAAAATTTACTACTTTTGTGGTCATTATAAATGAATGAATTTGTTAATTATTGCATGTATGTATATAAATGTTGGGAATATTTTTTTACTGTGGGTTATTTTAGTAGTTGTTGATTAAATGTACTTAGTATGACAATAATGTAAGATAGAATATTTTTATTAAATTTTGCAAGTGTGTTCAAACTGGTCAACTTCTAGTCCCTTGCTATGTTGTATGAGATGACAGTTATTACTTTATACATATAATGCACACATATGAATAGAAAAAAGTCGAATAATATATTAAGATATGTTTCCTACTAGGGTCACATTGATCGACAGCCTTTAATGTTTTGCTATATCTCTTTCACTTTCTTTCGCCGCGAACGCGTTTCGTCGGCCGATTGGCCTGCAAAGCAACTGGTTGTCAACGGGCTTCGAAAGCTAACAACGCCGCACGGACGACAGCGAAAGACGGCAAATGACAGCGATCTAGCGCTATAGGCGACAAAACCAACACGACTACACGTGCATAAAAATGACCAAAATATTTGCAGAATAGGTACAAGTTAAAATAACGGTCTTCAACAAACTGCACTGTCTATCGTGTTCAAGACGTCAACTTTTTGTGTCGACTGACTGATTAACGATTCTTTCGCAATCTTTCTCAGCCGAACGCGAACTCGGTAAGCAGTCACTCTACGAAATACGTTCAAGCTAAATGTGAAAGGAAGTCGATCAATGTGTCGTGACTCTTACAATATTTTAAGGCACCTCAGCAGCATTTATGTTATTTTCAATTTCAATTATTACAATAAAAAGATTGTTGTATTTTTAAATATTCTTTTTTTAAGTTAAATGATGTACTTAATTAGTTTGCTACAAGTTACATGCATGATTAGTTTATAAAGCATCTTTGTCGAATTTCGCCTAGATGATATAAATAAAAGAAGCCTGACTGACGATCTTGACTTGACTTTTTCTGTTATATGTTAAGCTCACGACGGAGTATCTTCTGAAATGTACTACAGCCTTCAGCATAGGAAAATATACAGAATTTTACTAGACAAGTCACCTGTTGCTGTATTGTTTTAATTAGTAACTAACCTTATAACTTTTTAAGCTTCCAAAAAAAAACAAGCAAACCGAACACAATTTTGTATCAAAACATGTTTTGGAAATATACATGTGTTATATACATATATAAACATGTGTTGGAAATATGGCCGTTGGAGGAGTGTGCGTTACCCCAGCAAAATAATGTCGAAAATGGTCATTTAAACGTTATAGATAATTAGTTGCTCCCCTTCTGTAATTGTTAGGCACATTTTTAAATTTGTTTCACTTAAACTTTTTTAGTTATTTCAAAAAAACATTTCCTGCTGGGGTAACGTTTGAAACGTTACCGCAGCCAGACATTTTCTTTTTTAATTATAATATTGAAATAAATTTTAGCTAAATAATTAGTTATCTGGACTAGGTAAATGTTACAACTTATTTGGTATTTGTATTTTCTTCGGCTGCGAAGTTATTCGAGATCCTGCTGGAGTAACGTTTGTAGGTTTGCTGGATCTCTGAAACGGGTAAGCGGATTGTAACCATCTTTTGTACATAACTTCTTAAGGATTAGTTTTAATTTGTTCGACAATAAAATAACAAAAATAATGGACCGTTTAAAAATTATTTAGGTAAGTATGAAAACACTTCAATACGTCCTAACACTTTAAATAAGACCTCTAAAGACTTACTTGAAACGTTATTCTATTGCTTGTAACTACCTTCAAATGTATACGAATTTTCGTAAGAATACTGTAAATGACTAAAAAGTTATGATGAAATTTAGCTCTCCACGTTCACGATCACAATGTGTGCGGCCTTTTTTGGCCACCGATAAACCTGTGTGTGGATATATAAACTGAATGTTATGCCAATAATTAGTTGTTTAGTTCAGTTGTCTACCCGTAAAATTTCAGCGTAGTACATATAATAATTTACGAGATAATTAAATAAAAGTCATTAGAAGGTGCAAGACCGTGATAACCCGACCATGTTTAGGTGGTTACAAAAAAGCGATCACCCAGTACATTGTGCTGGCTTTTAAAATATGTAGGATATTATTTGCAAGTTTACTACGGATATGTACATAAGTGTTACAAAAAACTACATGTTTTTTAAATATTTTTTATTTAGGATTGTTTATTGCATAATTAGTAATCAGCCGGGAGATTAGGTATTGTTTTGAATGCTTGTGTTTTCTCGTAATGTTTAGGTGAATTGTTTATAGTTGTTCATAGAATTGGTACCTGTGTAGTATTTGATAATTGAAGTTTAATTTTAGGGTAGGTATAGGTAAGTTAAGTTTTGAAGAGTGTAACGTATGCGTTGTAAATAGGTATTTTGTGAATAGACGGGGATGTTTTAAAGTGATAAATCGACTTAGGCTAGCATATCGCGAACAAACTCTGTATTGCATTATTTCTGTAATAATGTTGGAGAAAATAAAATATTTGATCACAAAATCGCGGTGAGTTAAATTATAATAAAATAAATTATTTATGTAAAATTAGTAATAAGTGATATACCTACCTACAAGTTATGATCGTTTTTAATTTGTTCACCCTGAACGAAATTTCAATATTAGCATTAGTAATTAATATCCTAAGACAAGAATTGACAATTACTTAAATTGAATCGAATTAGCATTAATGCCTATTATTAGTAATTAGGTACACACATATTGAAGAACTCTCAAGAATACGATAAATATTTGCAAAAATAGAAAGCGGAAGCGCACACGTACTTTACAAAACTCATATTATCTGCCTAAGGGTCAAGTTTAGTGCACTAGGGGCAAATTGCAAACAATGAAGTATCCCTTCGCCCCTCTCCTCCCGCGTTCTAGCGAAGGATGTATTATCGGCGATTCTTGATTGACAAATATTATCTGACCAATAATTTTATCTATAAAAATGTATCACTTTCACTCGATAAATTAAATTACCGTTATTATATCAAAATATCATTCAACTGTTCGTTTTTAACAGAAATCAACAGTCACGGGCTCAAAGCTTAGCAGTAGGTACATAGGTATAGATAATTCTCGGTACTCGGTATAGACCACAGAACAATATTATCTACTCTTTCGAGGTATACGACTGTTGGGCGATGCAATGTTGATGCATTCTAATTTACAACTGTATTCTTCTACTATTCGGTCTATTTAACTTATTGTAGATGACTTGTTGCTTTAAATATTTTGATGCATTCAAGTCTAAGCTCTACACACCTCAAAATAAAATACAATTACTTTAGTGTTATTTCTTTACAAAAAAAAAAATCAAAGAAATGAAACGATTTCTTATTGGTTTAAATTTTTGATTTATTGCAGTCAGGTGAATCGTTCATACATGTATCTACATATTTATAATTTTAGCGGACCAGTGCAGATTTTCTGTTGATTGTAGCTCCGGTAGTTAAAAAGACTAAAGAAATTTTAAGTAAAGAAACTAGTGCTTAAGATCAATTAGGAAAAAAAAAACAAAATAAATAATAGGTAATAATAATGCATAAATATTGAACGTATTTAACACTGTACGCAACTGTACCGAAATCGTAAGGTGTATTACACTAAACATTTTAAAAGACAGCGCAATGTACTGGGTGATCGCTTTTTTGTAACCACCTAAACATGGTCGGATTACCACGGACTTGCACCTTCTAATGACTTTTATTTAATTATCTCGTAAATTATTATATGTACGACGCTAAAATTCTACAGGTAGACAACTGAACTAAACAACTAATTATTGGCATAACATTCAGTTTATATATCCACACACAGGTTTATCGGTGGCCAAAAAATGCCGCACACATTGTGATCGTGAACGTGGAGAGCTAAATTTCATCATAACTTTTTAGTCAATAATAGTATTCTTACGAAAATTCGTATACATTTGAAGGTAGTTACAAGCAATAGAATAACGTTTCAAGTAAGTCTTTAGAGGTCTTATTTAAAGTGTTAGGACGTATTGAAGTGTTTTCATACTTACCTAAATAATTTTTAAACGGTCCATTATTTTTGTTATTTTATTGTCGAACAAATTAAAACTAATCCTTAAGAAGTTATGTACAAAAGATGGTTACAATCCGCTTACCCGTTTCAGAGATCCAGCAAACCCACAAACGTTACTCCAGCAGGATCTCGAATAACTTCGCAGCCGAAGAAAATACAAATACCAAATAAGTTGTAACATTTACCTAGTCCAGATAACTAATTATTTAGCTAAAATTTATTTCAATATTATAATTAAAAAAGAAAATGTCTGGCTGCGGTAACGTTTCAAACGTTACCCCAGCAGGAAATGTTTTTTTGAAATAACTAAAAAAGTTTAAGTGAAACAAATTTAAAAATGTGCCTAACAATTACAGAAGGGGAGCAACTAATTATCTATAACGTTTAAATGACCATTTTCGACATTATTTTGCTGGGGTAACGCACACGTTGGAGGAATTGGAATATACATTATTGTAACGGATGACTCAATAGTTAAATCTCCGCTCCCCGACTATAGTATTGTGGTTGTGGAACCAATGACGCCGAGTCTTGGAGATTTGATTCCCACACGTGCCAAAAAATGTGGCATAATTGTCTCGAATTTAGGCGTTTCTTTTTTGTGTCCGTATGTACAATGTTTATTTTGTCTCCAACAGACAGGAATGAAGCCATATATTCAATAGAGAACCTGTAGCGGAGACACATAGGCCGAGTTGTTACGATTCTGTGAGACGTTAGAGCTCGATTTTTGCCTTGCCTACACTACTGAGTTGTCTGTACTAATTGAAGAATTATTTAATTATAGCTTAAAAGTTGTTTCAATAAAAAAAAACTTTTATAACACCTTATTTTTGCATTGAAGATAGCAAATAATAATACAGAAAAAATAAAAACGTATTTTGCAATATATCTTCACATGTATACTAGTGGGTTGCAAAAGTTCCATGTTTAACTGACTCCATGGAACTACTGTCAATAAACCAAAATAAAGTCGGTTTTTTTTTTCGGGTACGGGTCGATCTTTGTGATTAGCTACGCAACGGATTTTATTGCGGTTTCCACCAATAGAGAGAGTGATTCTAGATTGTTAAATATTGCAAGAAAAATGGGTTATTTGCGAAGCTATTTTAAACAATACAGTATCATTAGTTCTCAAATTAAATAGGTACATTAGATAAGTTGATCATTTAATGCCTTTTACAGCATAACACCTAAATGAATATCTTAGAAGAGAGATCTAAAATGCAGGGATAGAGCGGTCACCTCATGGCGGCCATCGGAGTGGGAGTTATCTCGCTCGGAAACATAATTTCGGCCATGGTGCAAAGCGAGAGTGCGTTGAACTCTGCCGTATCCTACCAGGGATTTCAATTTTAGAGTACACCTGGTTCCCGGGCTACTGGTACCCGAGACGGCGTGCGGTTTTTAGTCGGTTCGAGTCCGACATAGCCACCGGTGGGTGGTATCCGCGGGGATTTCCGCACAGAAAAAAAAGGGTAGAACGGTCGTCGGGCAGTACGTCCGTCCCGGGTGGCAGCGTGGAGCGTGCCATTAAATATTGTTTATAAAAATATACTGTAGTAGTCTTATCATAATAATAATATGATAATCACTCACTCCGTACTGACACCACATTATTTTCTACTTTTCACACGTGTGAAGCCGGGGAGGATCGCTAGTACATATATAAATGTAGCGTGTCTTACAAAATTGGTAACAAAAGCAAGTTTCAAAGTCCCAGTAAATCCTCACTGAGACAAAGCGGACTTCAGTCCCAACTTACGACGGGGACTGTATAGATGGAACAATTGTGATTATAGAATTTATGGCTGAGTTAATGGTTGGAGATGGCTGATACAAGGAGCTCGTGGCTAAGTAGCAACCGAGTAGGTTAGCACATTGCAAAGTTAAGTAATCGTAGTCAGGTCAGTTTATGGATGGGTGACCTTTCTTAGCATATTGAGACCCCCTCCGTGTCTTGAGCACTAAGCTAGCTGAAGTTCAGCAGCGTCGTAATAGACTGAAAGCCGACCCCAACCTAGTTTTTTGGAAAGGCTCGGACGACGATGAACAAGAATAAGAAAAACTTTGTCTTTTACATCGCACACTCAAAATTAATAACAATACTTGAAAGAAAAATGGTCTTGGACTCAGCGTGTGGATGACAGTACAAAGCATGCCATCCGCTGTTATTCTGCCCAAGCCAATTGTCGAGAGTCAAACCTCGATCCTCAACATCGCGGTGGGCCGGTGCTTACAACCGGCTGAACCGCTAGCGAACCCAAGTGACGGGTAGGCAACGAGAAGCGGGGGCGCGGGCGCAACGGCTCCCACCACGATTGCCATTATATACTACCACCCGCATTATATACTCGAACGGGATCACTGTTCTTTCAACATACCCCTTGCAGACATTTAACACCAGCGCAACATACAGTCTACTTTTATTTATCGACTAACACCGAGATACCCTTGTATGTCTAAAGACCATGTGAGTTTGTCATAAAGATAAAAAGGAGCTTTACTTTTAATCAAAGAGTTTTAATATACGCCGGCTAAGCATATTCAAAATTTCCGGGAATTTATGATGTCTTTTTGGGGGGTCGAAAGTACATTTTTCATGGGTGCGAATGTGACAAAAAGGTCTAAAATCAGGTGGCTAAATATAGACACCATGTCGTTGATGCTTTCCCGTTGGGAAACCAGTTCTCATGGAGCGTACTGTGCCGCATTGCTAATTACCTTCTCGTTGTCTCTAAGCGATCTGTACGTAATCGTACGGGGAGTAGGCTTTATCACGGTAAAGTTAAAACTGGCCACTATCAGAGCATGATCACTTAAGTGATCATGACTACAGGTGTAGGCATTAATATGTCTTGCAAACATTTTTTAATAATCTTAAGCATTTAATCCACCATTAATCATAATTCATTTCCTTGGAACTCTCACTGATTCTTAATAATAGAATAATAACTTATTGACAAACTGGCGCCCGAATAAAGAAAAATATAAACCAAACATTGCTCAGGTACGACTATATATTATAACTATATATTATAACTTAATATTATATGAGAGTCGGACGACTAATTGAGTTATTAACAATGATGCATGTGAATATGAGTGTCCAGAATTTCAATATATCCATTCAGGTTCGGAACTAAATTAACTCAATATCTTTTACAATATTTTGGGAGATATTTTTTTAATGATATTTGAATGACATCTCTTATAACGAATTCAACAATTTTGAAGTTTTATTAGAAGTATTTTTTATTTATTTTTTTTGTTAGAGGGACAGACGAGCAGACGGGTCACCTGATGGAAAGTGACCATCGCCGCCCCTGAACGTCTGCAACTCAGGAGTCACAAACGCGTTGCCGGCCTAGTTGTATTTAATGATGTAATAGAGAACAATGGGTTCAATAGGAAATAGCAGCTTTACACTAATTTTTTTCTCGTTGACACTTGACAGTAACTGTCTTTGACATGGACAGAAACTTCCTAAAACAGTGCTGCCAAGTTATCCTCTCTAGGCTAAATCATAAATTTTTTCATGTGCATCTTCTTAGCAAGTAGATTACTTTTTTGAGTTTTTGTGACACGTCAATAATTGTTAAACATCAGCTTAAGGATATTTTCAACCAAAAATATGTACAACTATATGTGTGCTAAAAGCATGATGAAATTATTCCTATTTTAACTTTAAGCATATATGTATTTGTACAAAAAAAATGGAATTTGGCACAAAATGTTTATTTAAGTTGGTAACTAATGTAATACCTACTTAAATTGCATCTGTCAGGAAACTGTACGTTTTCTTTGTTTACGAAGTAAATTGTTAATTCTTCGAGTAAAAGTTAAACATGACTCATACAAGTTCAATGTTTTAGATTTATTGTTACTATTATTGTTTAACTGTGTATATTCGTAATCGTAAACAGTGCTAAAAGCCTAATTTAAGTCGGGGGGAGGTTGCTACGTAATGGTGTTAAGCTATTAAACTCGATACTTGAATATCTAAGATGTCATTGCCTATAGAAGAAAGTCCGATTATTAATTCGGATATAGAAAATGATATTACTAGTGATCATCGTAATTTAATTGAGACGGGACCAGGTAAGGTATTATCTATGGAAATAGTGCGTGAGAAAGTTATATCAAAATATTTATTATTTTGATACAACTTTATAGTTAACCCATTTTTTTGTTGCTATATACTTTACATGGTCAATGTTTTCTTGTCAGTTCTTTTTATATTTTTACACAACCATGAATTATTTTGTCATTATTTTAGTGGAAGAAACAACAGGATGGATCAAATGTCGAACAGTACTTGGCATCATGGGTTTCTTGGGTTTTGCAAGTGTCTATGCAATGAGAGTAAATTTGTCTGTTGCTATTGTTGCAATGGTCAATGCTACAAAACCCATACCCATGAACACTTCAGATGTTGATGTATGTCCTGCAAGTCCTCCCAGCAATACTTCTATTCCTCAAGTAAGTAAAATGAATAGTTAACTGTCATATTATATTACACACTAGGAATGGAATAAAATCACAATCACCTGTGTTAAATCATATGGTCTCAAAATCATAAAATCACACCTGCAACTAAATTACTGGGACTTATTAGTATTATTATGCTACTACTAGACTCGCGAAAGGTCTAAAATCTTTAACAAAAAGTAAAGTAGTTAACTTTAGTAAAAATAATTTTTATTTATGTCTATGGAATTTATCTTTGTTTATGACCATATCACAATCACATGTGAAATCTAAAAAAAGTCATCATATGAATTTGATTTTAAAGTAGTAATAATTTCCATGTCTAGTACACACAAACAAAACATAGTACACAATGCATGTAGATATAATATACTTGTCTTATTGAACTACCATTGCTAGCTTTATAAGCACAACAGACAAAAGAAATAGATTCACATTCGAGAACTGTAATATTATAACAACAATAGTTTGGAGATTCTTGACTGCGTATTTTTCTAGAAAGTAAAAGAATTTATTAGTTTTTTTTTGTAGAGACAGTACAGCAGTAGATATACATTTTTGTTTGTTGTTTCAAATCTTTTCTTTGATAGATATCAAGACCATCTATTGATTTCAATCAATAAATACTCAAAACCTTTTAATATTTCGTATAAAAATCTTTTTCCAAAATTGTTTATTTATACATATAAATATTTTTATAGCTTATGTACCTATAATGTAAAACTAACTCTTAATTTTTTCATTTAAGAGGCCTGGAGACTTCAACTGGACTATGCAACAACAAAGCATAGTTTTAGGTTCATTTTTTTATGGATATGTATTAACACAGGTAAAGAACATCTCTTGATTATATCATAGATTATTTTAATTATATCACTTCTCCAGTCACTGCACTAGTGGCTTCTCCATCCAAGATGTGTACTTATCTCTTACCCTGACTCCTTTGCCCTAAACATTTTCCTTATCCCACCTTACCTTCTCCTTAAATCATAAATAGACACAACCCTTTAATATGTTAATTAAGTAACATTCCAAAAAAGTTTTATTAAACTTTGAGACATTACATACATTTTATGTGTTAGGTACACATAAAATGTATGTAATGTCTAAAAAACACGAAAACCACTATTGACTAAGGGAGGAAACTACACAGAACAACAGCAATGCTTGAAACAAACCAATACCAACACGTCTGGCCAGCGTGGTATATTAGGCCAAAACCTTTCTAAGGAGAGGCCTATGTCCAGTAGTGGACTACTATAAAGCTGTTGATGATGAAAGTAGTTTTTATTAATTTATATTACTTAATTTCATCATGTAAAAGCTATTGTTTTTTTTTACATTTTAGATACCTGGTGGAAGAATAGCAGAAATGTATGGAGGAAAACTTGTATATGGCTTCGGAATATTCTTTACAGCAGTATTTACAATTCTTAGTCCAATTGCAGCCTATACAGATATTTCATTCTTCATTGCTGTTCGAGCATTAGCAGGGTTTGCTGAAGGTGTTACTTACCCTGCAATGCACGCTATGCTAGCTCGATGGATACCACCATTAGAGAGGTCGAAATTCGCCGCTTATGTTTATGCCGGTATGTAGTTTTATTTTTAAGCTAGTTAATTAGCTAATTTTATTTTCGAACTATTCATCTAAGCCAAAAAAATGACTTTATTAATTATCCTAACTGAAGCCGTTACAGCTTTATTATTCTAAATACTCATTTAAACAACCCAAGTCTTTGCTTTATTTGTGTAATAGTTTATTTTAAGTTATGACTATCTAAATCTGACATTCTTATGTCTTTCAGAGTGTAGAAAGATAGATTTTTATATTTCTTAACACTCAGTTCTCTAAATGAGCTGTTTAGTTACTAGCGTAACTGGACGGATCACACTCTGTATGACACGGGTGACACTCTGTATTATTAATCCATAACCACACGTATAAAGATTATGTATAGAAATATATGTGCTCGATTGACGGCAATGGCTTTGCCTCTTTATAAAGTAAGTGAGACCATAATTTAGATGCAAAATGTGGGCGTTTAATACGCCTTTTTGTATTTAACTAGCATAGCCATTCTTTGTTATAATGTGTTGTGGAAGGGTGTAAAAATATTTTTAATAAAATAAAACTATGATCGCATCACATCAACAGCTTTACATAGTCCACTGCTGGACATAGACCTCTCTTTAGAAAAGAGGTTTCACCGGCCCACGCACAAATGTTTATAAAATCGGCGCGGCGGCGTCATTTCGTCTATCCTATCTACTAATTACAGAAACCTGTATCGTAAATTAATGTATTTACTTTCAGGTTCAAACATAGGCACAGTTATAACTTTACCTATATCTGGTTGGTTTTGTACCTTAAATTTTATGGGCGGATGGCCTCTATGTTTCTACGTATTCGGAGGTATCGGAGTTATATGGTTTGTCTTCTGGTTGTTCCTGGTGTATGACACGCCGCAGAAGCACCCGAGAATTTGTCCGAAAGAAATTGAATATATTACGATGACTACTGGTCCGCATGTAAGTGATTTATTTATTACTATGTTTGCTTACTTTAGGAATATCTTACCTCTTTATTTGTGTAACTTGAAAATGTATTAGAGACATGTATTTCAGATTATTTGAATAATTCAAAGTACTACCTAGACAGCAAAAATCTTTAACGGTCTTAGTTATTGCAATGAACGGCGTTCTGAATAGGATTACTGATAGAATAGAAATTTTATGTGATACTGCTATGGTATCAAATCAGATTGCTGGCCACGGGGTAACGATGAGGCTGCCCGTTACACAAGCCGAAACAGCCCTGAGAAGTATGCGCGACGTATTTCGCTCGCCTCTGTCTAAAGCAAAAGGAATTGTAACGAAGATCTTAAATAATATTGCCTATTAGTTACTTGACTTACACCAAAATGGTCGTACGTAACAGACATTTCATTATAAACGATCCTGACGCGTAATAATATTGATAACGTTTAAATATGATTATTTAACTACAATATTACAAATGCCATTTAATTTATTCAGCTATCATAATGTGGGACGCAAACATGATTCACACGTTGACCTCACAGATGTTCCCGTGCTTATAATTTCAGAACAGTAGGTATATACATGTTTATTCTCGCTATTAATTAAAAACAAAACCCTGCAGCGGTAATTATGAGGCGATTTTCTTTTAGAACTGGTTGTATGTAAACAGAAACATGGCTACTGAAACTACCGAAATGACGTTAATATTTTGAGTAGAAAATTGATACGAATAGGAAATATTAGTCTAAAATGGTACAATGTATTATATACTACGAGTATTACTGAGTAGTACACCAATAGGGACGTTGTTATTTTATCTATCAAAGAAATGGAAAACAAAATGAATCGGTTCTGTAGCAATTTAAATTACATTTAATTATTCAATTGCTGAAGGACAAAACATAGTTGTCTGTCTTATTATTGCAATTGTATCTATGTTATGTCATTCGATACTGAAGTTTATACTACTGTTTCCTTGGTACTTATCATTGGCGTAATTTTATTAATCTTGCCCAATTTCTATGTTATGTAAAACGTTATGTAGAAATAACCAGTTAATGGCACTTTAAAATGTAACTACTACTAATACCCAAATATAACAAAATATATAGACAGTGATTGGTATTGGTATCACCCACATTCTCATTGCTCACACACACGATTAAACCACATAAATTATTTTTGGAACCCACAACAAATTTAATTATTTGAACACTCGCACAGGAATTAGTAATGCTTAGCTGTTGCTATTCTATTTAATATTTTCAATACTCGTATGATTCTTCCAAAGCAGGAATTCCCAAAGTGGTCGAAATCCATTTCCCAAGGGTCGACATAAACGAAAACTGATTTTGGGGGTCGACGAGGTCTAAAAATCGACCTCTATTAATTAACACAAGTTATTATTTGAAACTTTCAAGATGCTGTATACTAACATCTATAAATATTATCAATACTTGTCATATTATCTATACTTATTGTTATCTTTATCCTAAGTATAAAAATGAGCAGCCTATTATTAAAAAATATATATTTTGTAGCTTGTTATATTTAGCCTAAAACTAATGGTTAATAATTCAAATTGTAATGTTATTTGAATGTTATGACAAAGTAGTTGATAAACTTTGTTGAAAATATTCTTGGTGATAGGTAATAATTAGGCAGGTAGTCGCTCCACGTAAAAAATCGAAGTTTAGCCGTATCGTAGTAAACTTAAAGCCGTCCATAACCTAATTTTGGTAAAAGGCTCGCAGGAAGAGGAAGAGAATTTAATAATTAGGCAATTTCTTAAAAAAAAAAACCTTTTCTGTTTGCAACATTTGTGTGTGGTTTGAGCCAGTTTAAGCAAAATTTCGCGTTAAACAGCTTTCACAGTAGGTGTTCTAAATTATTCTCGCATCTTTTACGGCACGGACTATGGCCGTCATATTATCGTGTCTTACTCGATTGTTTAGCGGATAACGGCTCTAATTCAGCCTATAGAGTTTCAACCAGAGGTATCTGATTAAATACCGTATACATTTTTGAAACACAAATCACTAAGTTGAAATTATTCCTCTGCCGCAGAGGACTATACAAACATTTGAACAGCAGATACAACCAATGCCTAGACACGAACCAGCTACACCAAACCCACAATACTGGTCGCGGCGATGTGCCTGTGTGTGGGGGGAGGGGGGGACCACTTAACCCTATAAAAATGAACGCTTTAAGCTTAGATTTGGTACTATCTCATGGTCTCTTTTGGAAACTGATTTAAAAATCATTGTTTTTTTAATATACTTTCTTGAAAAACTGCATGATGCGGGGTATTAAATCCGCTTAATAAAACGCAGAGGGCATTAGGCGTTTTATCTGGTCAACCTGTTGGGTATTTAGATATGTGTTTGGCAGATGTATACTTTAAAGTTATAACATAATAATACATACATACAAATAAATAACAAACGCGTAAAGACTTTTAAAGTATTATTCTATTAAAACTGACTATAATTCAAATTTGTTTTGTTTGTATTTGCTTTCCCAGGAAGACAAACCGTCAATGGCTATACCATGGATGAAATTTTTAAAATGTGTGCCACTGTGGGCCATCCTCATCGCGCAGTGCGGCCAGGGCTGGGTGTTCTACACTCAATTCACTGAATTACCATCATATATGGACCAGATATTGCATTTTGATATTGTTGCTGTAAGTTCATTTCATTTTTCTTTTTGATTTTTACGTACCATAATAAACAAAAATTAAATGAGTAAAAAATAAATTAACATGAATAAGTTGAATTCAGCTAGTTTACAATAGACTTCAATGTACTGATGTACCAATATAAGTACTGTGCCTGCCTTCATGAAAACATTAAAGAATAATTACCTTCATTCATTTCTAATGGCGCAGTTATGATTCTTATAAATGAAAACATCATTTGTTTCCACAAAATAGTCTACACAATGTATAGAGAGCCTCTGGGAAGTGAACCTAGCAATATTATTAGGAATTAAACTGCAAGGTAAATTCAATTTAATATCAAAAGTTACCTAGCTGTACTACCTGCCACTCTTCACTGTGGCACATTGTGGCTGCATTGATTAGAAATGAGTAACAAAACTGTCGCAAAAAATAGATAAATCATCAATCTTTTAAACAGTTTGTATATCTTGTCAAAATTTGATCTCAATCGGTTTAGAACTTTTTGAGTGTTTAAAGCGTACACAAACCAACTTAACATTCATATATAAATATATACAGATATATGGACATTCGCCTCCATTAGTAATAGTTGATTTCTTTTCTATTGTATTTAGATAAATCTTTCATTTTTTTTTCAGAATTCACGACTAAGCGCTCTGCCTTATCTAACAGCTTGGATTGGCGGCATAGTATTGTGTATATTTGCCGATTGGATACTTGCTAAAGGATGGCTGTCACGCCTCAACAGCATGAAACTGTGGAATACTGTGTGTAAGTAAGCTTTTCTGAATATGCCGGGTAGTTATATTCTGTTCTTCTCGTTATAGATGGTGCATTATTTATACAGATAAAGTTGGTTGGTATTAGTTCCTCCAAAACAAACAGCAGCTTCTTCGAGAGTTTACTAGTTTTTAGGAGCGTTCTTGTTATTGTTTAAACTCTAGCGTTGCAGTTAAGTATAAATAGGCCACTTACTTAAGTATACCTGTCATACGATGCGTATAACTGTTTACTTTTAATCATTTCTGGTTTGGTTTAAGACCATTTTGTAATACATAATTCTCCTAAACTAAATTACAATTATTGTTGTGGTGAGTTCTGCTAATGTCTTAAATGCTTCTTAATCTTGCGGATCAACTATTCAAGACTTTTACCAACTTACTAAGCTGATTAGATTTGAATGATTTGGATGTTTTGTGTGCAGCTGCCTTCGTCCCAGCTTTCGGTCTGCTGGGGATCGCGTGGGCGGGCTGTGACCGCTTAGCTGTCATCCTGTTGCTTTGCATTACGTCAGCTTTTGGTGGTGCTGCGTATGCCGGTAAGTACTTTATTCATGTTTAAAAACTCATATTGCATTTATAATATTAAACTATGTAAGTTTGCATGTAGATACTAGGAATGGGCTATTTCTATTAAAATCAAAATGAGGAATAGTTATACTGATTTAATGTACTTGCATCCGGCTTCTTACTTTGTGTGTCTTTGTTTTACATAAAAACACCTCTCTGAGCAGCGCAAAAGCAAAAATCTGGACACTGGACACAATGCAATTAACAAAACCCCAATAAACCGTGATCGGATTTTGCCGATTAGTTGGCCTTTTTAAAACCGACTGATCAGCAAGTCAGCTAAAGTTATGTTCGGCACACCACTTGCATAAAGCTTAATGAGATAATTATGTAACTTATAATTTTTTTTTTAATTATTTGTATTTTTTTAAATAAAAAAATTATACACTGATACAAAGACATTAGATGCATTTAATAGACTTATAACCTTTAGTACAACAATTTCTTATGTGTGAGCACATCATGCACTACTTATTTATTAACAACGTGAAATATTTTAAATGACATTAATCCTAAGACACTGAACATAATGATGGCTTATAAACTAAAAACTATATTTGAAAATCGAAGTTACAAAGTTAGAACTATAGCGGACCAAAAACACGGAAGCATTTACAAGACTTTGTTAATAGCACTTCTGAACCTACTTAGTGAGTCAGAGTACACATCGACGAGATCACTACAACTGTTTAACAATTGTGAGAAGCGGGGATAGGAGAATTATCACCAAGGACGGTTCTGCGAAGAGGAGGATGTAAGGGAGTTATAGGAGCTCTTGAAATTTTCGTGGGTACACGGAATTTTATCCTGCTCAATAATTGGGGACAGTCAATATTAAGAGTAACGGTAGATATTGATATGAGTATTGAGTTGTCTCATGATCCTCACTATCTTAAAACAAATGATAACTCACATAAATATTTTTCAATAATATACAAATGTTTTCAAGTTTGTAGTAATGTTTCTCGGAAATATATTGCAGGTAATCAAATGAATCACATCGATCTGTCGCCTCAGTTCGCCGGCACTATGTACGGCATCACAAATGCTGCCAGCAATATATGTGGTTTTATGGCGCCATACGTCGTTGGACATATTATAAAGGCGGATCAGGTAATTGCTATGCGTTATACTCATTTCATCTATACGGTTTTTTGAATCTTTGAAAGGGTCGATAGATTATTTAAGCACTTAATTTTGAAAACTATAATAAAATGTAACTTAATAATAATAATACTTTTAAAGACACATTTTTAAATATATTTTGTTTTTTTTTCGTACGAATCATAAATGCATGCCTGTGCTATGGCAATGCCTGCTGATGACAATACTTTAATATTTCTAAATATATAAATATTATAGATAAATTACACCTAGACACAGAACAAATGATCGTGCTCATCACATAACTATTCGTCCTGGGTAGAGATCAAACCCACGACCTCCGGCTTAGCAGTTAGGTCACTAACCACTAGGCCAACAGGCCAGTCCAATATTTAATGGTAAAACAGACTAAAACAAAAAGTTACATTAAGAAATCCGATGAAATAAATTGTAATGTTACGTCAAAAATATAATATTTAGAATAATTATTTATCTTTATAGCTCACTAAATGTTGTGTTCTGCAAGTCTGTAATAATATCATACAACAGAAATAAAAACGTATAACCCTCCCAGTTAGTTTTATCTGTATAAAACCTTAAAACATTAATATTTATTAGAATTTGGCTAATATCAAAGTGTTATCTATCGTGTATATTTGTTTAGAATAATTATTTTATGGTTCATATTGAATTACATCTGAAAAACCAGCATGAATCTAATGACTTGCAAAAAAATAAGTATTAATTGGTTTTACCCGTCTATAACTAAGAATATACTGTTACAGTTTAATTTATATTGATAAATACTTAACCTGCCATGTTCGGCATGGACAAAAAATCTATGCAAATACCCAGGGGATTTAAGCAGAGTATCCTAGTGGACGGAGGGGTCATAACAGGTATCCACGTGGATCGATCGATCCGCAAAAACTGCTAATACAAGTTAATATGAATCGTCATTCTATTATAATAAAGCATAATCTATATAAATCATAGAGAGTACTTCGATAAAGTATGAATTAATTATATGTTTTACTTTTGCTTAGAAATTTTCATCAAAATCAAAAACAATTAACCCCGATAGTATATTTTACGTGTAGATTATTAAAATGGAAACCAATTGAACGTTTAACACGAAAGAGAGATATATTAGAATAATATCTTTTATTCGAAGATATAAAATAAAGAAAAGAGAATATGTTGTAATAATTGCTTTTCAACCTCAAGTTTTATGAAAAGTCCCATTTTAGCGGTTATCCCCATTCACTATCTTTTTAACTATGCATTATATTGCAAAGTGCGTTTGACCATTAAAATAATCTCGAATAAAAAAAAAATGTCTCATTTTTGCAATAATCGGTATTAAGTCGGTTTGGCCATTAAAACGACGATGTTCAATGTATGAAAATCATTGTATTAATAAGATATTTATTGTTGCAGGAAACCTTAGGACAATGGCGCGAGGTCTTCTATTTAGCAGCAGCCATTGATCTTGGCGCTAATCTTTTCTACTTATTCTTCGCTAGCACGGACGAACAGGTAAGCAAAATAATCATTTTCATCCTCATTACCTGGATAGTTGGCGCTCCACTACACCGTGCGCTTTTCGAGACACTTTTTGCCCCGCACAACTAATCTGTGGAACGGGTTATCTTCTGCGGTATTTCCGGACCTATACGACCTTCAAGAAAAGAGCGTACTCCTTCCTAAAAGGTAACACGTTTGTGACTCCTGAGTTGCAGACGTTCATGGGCGGCTATAGTCACTTTCTATCAGGTGACCCGTCTGCTCGTCTGCCCCCTCTAACATAAAAAAGCAAAACATAGTAAAATCCTTTTTTGTAAGTTTTACCTAAGAATTTGTCTAATAAAATTGATTCCCTTCCAACTTAATAATGCTACGAATTATTTTATGATAAGAAGCATTTTCCGTATTGACCGATTTTTTAAAGGTTTATTTGAAATTAATTACAGTACGTTCTTAAACGTTTTGAATTTTGCTTTTGGTGTCATCAGGCAGAACAGCGGCCTCGCCTTGTCCTGCCCTGATTAATTTCATTTTGGTTTTCCAATGAGTTTTTCAATTTTCTAGATAAGAAACAATTGTTACTAGTCGAGAACAATTGTTTTACCAGTGAAATTTACGAAGCAAGTGCTTGATAAATCTAGCTGGATGTTAATCGTTGCTGTTAGTTCAATAACCGATGCAGTTGCTGTTATTTATTTCTTGATAAACCACAGTGAATTGCTCATTTTAATCAAACAGCTCGATAGACTTACAACCAAAAACTAATTAATCTTATATACAAAATTCTCGTGTCACAATGTTAGGTACCATACTCCTCCGAAACGACTGGACCGATTTTTATAATTTTTTTGTGCACATCGTGTAGGTCTGAGAATTGGCCAACATCTATTTTTCATACCCCTATTTTTCCTTTTTTTCAATTTTTTTTAAATAATGTATATGGCAAAACAACGTTTGCCGGATCAGCTAGTTTACTGTATAATTGACGACAACCAACATTAAACCATCAAATTAGGAACCATTACGGTTTAATCAACTTTGCTTTTATTCAATAGGATTGGTCAAGACCTGACGACGACGACGACATGACTGCGCCGGCGCCGGTGGAAAGTATCCTGTTCTCCGAGTCATAGGACACGCCGCACCTCCACACCGCTGGGATCGTTGATACCGATGTTTAGTGCTCAAACAACATGAATATTAGTGATGTCTCCAAAGATGTGAAGAGAAAACTTACTATATCGAGCGATCGTGTGTACTCGCGTATGTCAATCAAATTTAATTAACCTTATGAAATGAATGTGTTAATGAAGAAAACGCATTTTTCTTTCACTTTTATGAGGAATACAGAGTGAGTATAATGAAATTCTTTAAAAAATTAAATTATTTTACTAAGTATAACTTTTGTAATTTAACACACCTTTTACATAGGAAAAAATCAAGATTTTTGATGTACTTCCACATTCATACATATTTTAGAACATTATGATCTATTACTGATGTAGAATGCTCGTTAAAAGATGTTGTATCTCACGATGCGAGGTCCCTTTGAACTTTCCCTTTGTTTGAATAGTATTAAAACATTCCAATAAACCCTTTTTTAATTAAACTCTAATCTTTTATCATAAGAGCAGTCTATATCGATAATACAACGGCTAGTTTAAGATTAAAAAATACTTTTTTCAATGTAGCTAAACAGATTTATACTCGATACTGTATGGTGTATAGATACATTTCTGAGAGATATTGCGGAGGTGGAAATAGTATCTTTGTGGCCTCGTTAAGAAGTGTCGATACTTTGCTCATTAATGGCAAATATATAATGCTATGTTAGGTGTATGAAGAATTGGTCTGTGATCTTACTCGATTAAAGATTGTTTGGTAATGGTGCCGATTTTGTTGTTAATAAAAGTCTATAAAGTAGATTGATAAAATAATAATTAAGTTTGAATTTGTCAGCGATGTGGCTTATTAGCAAAATCTTATGCTGCATACTTAAGATGTTTTAGTTTGACATCATCATAATCAAAAGCCTTTACTAGTCCATTGCTGGACATAGGCCCCTCCTTAGAAAGGAGGTTTTAACCTATTATACCACGCGGGCCAGACGGGTTAGTCTACGATTTGTGTCTAGTTTTTCTTCCCTTTTCAGTAAGATATAACTAAGATTTATTATTTTGTTGCACCTTGTCTATGTTTTATTGATAAATTAGGTTATTTCGCAAATTTGAGTCATCTATTTCTGAATTTATACGCAGGTGAATATTAAACGTCCATATGCAGACTCACTTACGTAATAGTGGGCGAGCCTATTGGACTCAACCGGACTTTGTAGAAATTAGATTAGAATTAGATTGGAAAATTCGGCGTTCAGTATGTAAAGAAAAGGGAAATTTAAGAAAGGTATGTAGCTTATACGGATAGTTTGAGGAATATAAGCAATAGCTCAATTAGGTTAAGGTCGCATACCACAAAATTCAAATTGGCTGATACTGAAAAGTCCGAGTCAGTTAATCGAACATAAAACGATCAAAATTACCCTTAATGATATGAGAATCGACCGTGAGTCTAAAATTAAGCAGTTAAATGTATTCTAATAAACATATCTTCCTGATTAAAATGAGCAAAATTAGACATTTTCGGAAATACTTTATTGACAACAGAATCGGCGGCAACTTACTTAGTATATAGAATTATCGGCTAAGTAATTTTGTTATACAAATTGTGATTGTTCGCGCAAATGAAAGTGTTAACATAAGTTATACAAATATTAACTTAAAATAGTTAACATAAAAACATATGAGCTATGGTTCGATGCAAACTTAATGGCGGCTCTCAAGTTAGCTGACCTGTACCTACAGCCAAGTCGACTCGACTATACGTAGACAGTAATGTGCGCGCATGTGCAGTGTACGCATGTAACTCACACTAAAAGGCATGCGTGTCGTGTGTCGCCCCGCCCCCCGCTCCTGTACGTCCTGCTGCTGTCTATTATTGTGTTCTCTGCATCGAAACGCTTGATGTTCCAAAACGCCATTAAGTTTGCATCCGACTATACATCATGGTCTTACAATTATTTATGAAAAATGATTTAGTGATAGTAATTTGAAAGGTTTATGAATTGATCCGCACATTATTATATGCTTAATGACTGTTTTTTATTATATTTTACACGGTACGACATTTTTATAGTCACCATTTTAAGGCGACGTACGATAATCTTATGAAATTGTTTTTAATAATTTTCTGACGATAATGTCATGCCGTATAAGTCGCTACACATTTGGGCATAGTATTGGGAAGTTAAAATATTTCCAATTGCTTCCTAAGTACAAATTCGTTCTGTGCTTGTGCTTGAACCATGACAATATGTCGTACTAATACGTGCAATAGGTAACGTGAAAATTATGTCTCCAATGTTTTGTCAAAAAAATTATTGATGATAAAGATACTTGTTTCTTGTTTGATTAACAATAATTAGTATAACTAATGTGTTATGTGTTGAAAATTTGCTAGAAATATTATTTAATAATGTTAGTGGTCTGCTTACTGGACTCTCAAGTAAAATCTATTTGTTTTCATAAAACGTCAACAATTGGGAGTCGTAACGTCACACTTTGGCATTGTCAAAATAGTCACTTTAATTTGTTTAACGATTAAAATTAGCAATGGGTCTAATTTCATTATAATATTTTTTTATAATATATTTTCATAACAGGCCAACAAGCTTGGTTAAGTCGACCCACTGTTTAACCTTTAAAACGATTGTTTAACAACTTGAACATAATAAAAAAATGATAGGGAATTTATTTATTGAATGCAATTATTATTGAGTAATAATCACAAAAAAAATACCATTCATTTTATTTAAATCAATTTCGAATTTCGCCAAAATTAAATTGAACTTTTTTTGTTAATGCAACATTTCTAAACTGTTAAACATATCCAAGAATGTTTCAAAGAATTATGTTTGTTATTTCAACGAAAACAAGGATGATTGAGGATTCAATGTACCTGAAAGTGTATGAGCAAGTAAATCATGACATAAACACAGTTGTTCTTAAGTCATAATTGGTTTAAATAGAAAACTAAAATGTGATTTTAATTATTAAAAAGGAACAACAAAAGAATAATCCAATAAAAACCAGACCAAAAAATATTTTATCATCAGTGTATATCATATGATTGTAACTTATATTTTCGTTCACATATTTCCTAACCATTTATGAGTTTAATGTTAGCTAATTTTATACTGTCTCAAAATTTTAGTCAAAATTTAGCCAATTTTATTTATATGAATGAATCTTATGAATCATGGCTGTAGAACAAAGTTCAAATGTCAGCACTATAGTCGTCTATTCGCGTTAAGAAAATAGTGATGCAATAATCAAGCCCTGCCTCCTGACCAATCAGGTTCCAAGAAATTGTCGTTTCGTACGAAAGCTTGGAACCTAATTGGTCAGGGTGCGTTTCGTGATCACTGCGTCCCAATTTTCTTATTATACTAGGTTTTAAATAATTAACTTTAATGTAGACTCGAAGACCTGTAATACGTTAATGTAAGGAGAGTCAGACAAAGTCTTACTCTCCTTACATTGATCTAAACATTTTAGGTATTCTAAGCTATACCAGTACTCTGTTAATTTTTATTGTGTTTTTCTTTCAATTGTACCCATTTAGGTTAACGTCACAGGAGAGATGTAAAAACTCCAAATTATAGACAAATATAGATGTTGAGAGAGAATGCTGAAACATCTAGGTCTGCACCATACTTTAATATCCCATGTATAATTATTAATTTTCCAGTAGCCGAAAATATAAAGCTATTCCAGTCAAACTAAGTACTAATTGCTACTGGCTAAATTGAACTCTTTTAATAATTAGTAAAATAATTTATTCTTTTTTTCCGGTAAGGTAGAGGAGGCAAATTATGGCTATGATTAAATTATGTTATCATCTCTGTCACGGATATACAATTATTATGTCAATCAGGTTGCTACAATTTTAAATATTTTTTATTAATATTTTTAAACATAAAAAAATATGTACCTCTGTCTAATAACTCGATAAACAACAAGTAATCAGATTTTCCAAGACTCCTAAAAATATTACATATTTGTTATGTCATTATTTTATAATTTACTTAAACTACATGAATTATAGCCAATGTGTCCTACTGTGTGTGGTGACAGGTACTGTAAAACAGGTGCTTTTTTATTATCATTACACCCTTAAATTTTGCTACATATGTATATCATATATGTATGTACACACGGCAAACTAAATACAGGTTCACAAGTGTGTATTTTGCCTTTAAGTATACACCTATATATAAATAACTCGTTTCTTTACTCATATATTTGCAAATATTATTGTTTCAAAACCATTCTGCGTTATTATTTTCAATTTGTCTAGTAATAGTTAATTTAAATCATATGTACTTCGTACTACTGTCTAGATATTACGTTTGCCGTGTGTACATGTAACGATAGTGAATTCATTTTATTTTATGTCAATCCAATTTATTTTAAGTAATTTTCGTACCTATTAACACTACTTCCCTGTAAAATGGCGCATATCATTTATCAAAAAATAATATTAAATGAATGTAATATCATACACATTCTTATCATTCCATTTGATTTTTTAACGAAAATAGCTCTAGTGTCAATACAATTTTAAGTTGCAAAGTTCAACCAAGCGTCTAGCAGTATTTTATTTGTGATGAATTGTAATGTAATCGTAAATGAGATACTTTATTACGATGTTAAATAATTATTAATCGTATTGTTTTAGTCAAATACTTACAAATCTTATGTTATTATGTTTTTAAATATATTAGCCAATTTATTTAAGAATCTCTCATTTCTCTGTATACTAGCGTCACCCAAGGATTGTGGTGTTTTACACAATGTCTGGCTGTCGTCAGTCTTCTGAAAATAAACGCGTAATAATTTCGATTTATGAACCGCATTTGGCGAAACGTATTACACTTATAATTAGATATTATATTAGATTTATTTCCTTTAATGTATCTAACTGTTTTAAATGCGAATTGTAGGTATAAAAATAAAACTATAATGTATGACATATTTTTTTAGAGATGGCAAATATATTTTACAAAGAAGTAAAA